ATATGCTAAAACACTGGATTGGTGTCTCGTGGAAATTAACATTGGGATCCGCGACATTGGGATCAGGCCTGCCATCTAGCGAGAGAATTATCGTAAGTTAGGGGCAAGCCGAGTGAACGCCATCTCTCAGCATTATGACACACGTGGGTGTGGTGTGTTAGTTGGCTTGAAGTGCATATTCCCACGAGTTGGAGGTAATCTTGCTTGACCTGAGACGACAAAAATGTCTTAAATGCTTGAAAGCCAAAAACGTCAGGCAGCCTTTAGGTAATAACGAAAAAAAATGCGTAAGACGGTGTGTATTGAAACGCCCAGTCCCATCGGCTTGTACGACCTTTTATATGGTCATTTACTCACAATGGTACAGCAGTTTGACAATATTTCATACATACCTATTTGGTAGACTTATTCCTTCTTCTCCGAATTTCGCCCGATTTCCTTCATCTTAGTTAATTGTTGGGGTGTCGAAATTGTTCCACATACAGTAACTCCGCAATGGCTGGGCCCATTACAAAAACTTCGTCAATAGTTAGGCACCCAGTGGTCAATGCATTTCCATGTGTCACTATGGGGGTGCTACTGCACGTGCGCACGTGCGGGGTGCCGCTTCCATATCTCAAGAACGGCTGGGCGGATAACACTCAAACTTGGTACACAAATGTCACATCGATGCTCGCACTGCATTGATCAGTGCTAACATTGGTGCAGAATCATTAGGAAAGCGATGAAATGAGATGCGTGGTGTTTATGCCTTTCTGTTCCAGCAGCTGATTAATCCGCAACAGGAGATCCCTGTTTGTGAAGGCTTCGTCTCCCCTTTCCACTCCTTGTTTAAAATAACATCAACAATGTATGAAGAAGATCACACATCAAAGTTGATTTAGGTGGCTATCTTTGGCCAGGGCTGCGGAGTTGTAATCAGAGCCAGAGGTTCTGTTCCGACTCGGAGTCGGTTGATTTTTAAAAGCTGTAGTCTGGGTATGAGTCGAACGTCACCGAAGTCATCGACTCCACAGACTTACCAGGGCTGCAGAGTCGGAGTCAGAGTCGGAGTCTGTGTGAATTGACAGTTCTGCCCGGAGGAGTCGGAGTCGATATTTGGATACCGGAATCGGAGTTGGAGCCAAAGTCACTGAAATTTCATAGACTACGCAGCACTGGTTGGGTCCTTTTCATAGAGCGTCAGGAATGACATATTGAGCGGCAATGACGTTAGCAATTCCGTTTAACTCTTTTCATTAGACTTATAGATAGTACTTACGTTCGTTTTGTTCTTTGATCGGACAATTTGTTTGATTTATAGGCCAAGTAAAGACTAATGTGAAAAATAGCGAAAACGACACGTGCTGGCGAAGTCTCCAATAACTCCCTGTTTCACGATTTAATGAGGAAATATCATGGAACTGCTTATGCTATTACTGACCCTGCACGTAAATCTATTAATTTCTTCGCTTTTACTGACATATAAAGACATAACCTTTTGAAAAATTGCACAACAAGCTGGCTACTACACCACACTCCCGTGTGTCACAATGCTTATCAGCGGCGTTCACTCGGCTTGCTCCTAACTTACGACAATTCTCCCGCTAGATGGCAGGCCTGAGCTCAATGTCGCCAAAAACTGCGAAGACACCAATCCATTATTACCTCATCCATGACTAGACTTTTGCAGCTGGAACACTGCTAAAGCAGAGCTAGCCTATAGGCTCTCGCTTTTTAGAGACACATTTCATTAATCGTACAAGCGTAAAAAACGTGCATTGAGATTAACATTTAGCTAACAGTGGTCCTTTCTTTTTCCATTGATCCAATGACTCGTTCTTTGAGAACAAGTGACGTATCTAATTCGATTCAATTTTGAACAAAATTAACATATCTGTTCCAGAAAATGAGACTCCGGCTCTAAAAAATATCAACCTCTTCAATAGCTCTTCTCAACGTATAAGAGCAGATTTAGTGCCGCAAGACTGTCCTTGCAGCTAGAATGCTCTAGCAAAGCAAGCCAATCGTCTAGGACCTTAAGCGTGGTTCACACCGGATCCGTAATGACCGTTACGTTCCGTAATGAATACGGTGGCGAGTAAAAAATATCTCGAAAGTGGAGGTCACAATGTAACGCGCATGCGTAGTTCGATTTTTTGACGCCGTAACGCCGTAATGGCTACGGATTCGGTGTGCACCGGGAATTGTCATCGCTGAGCGTCACCGTTCGAATCAAGTGCGCCAAAACTCTATTTTGTTTAGAGGCAAGCGGAAAATGGACTAAAGCCAAGAGCTGTTTTTAAAATATCAGAGCGCCAGAATGTAGACTTGTTTTACTCTCTTCCTTTTAATTTGTTAATTTCACTCTGACATAGCGGTCTGCAATTGTATCGAGTCATATCATTGTTAATTAAACGCCGGTGGGCAGAACACTGGACGGAGATTCTTGCATAATTATTTCTTGCATTACAAGAGAGCATGTCTATGCCCGTCAACGCTGAAGTTTATTTCTTACATTCTTTGCTATTCGTGGGTGATGTGATTTGAATACCAACGGACGCCAGAATGTGTATTGTATACCATTTGCTCGATTGGCTTGCCTGTTGCCAAGAGTCAATGTGGATTCAAACGTCTGCAAATATCTACAAGTCCAAAGTTATCAAATTTAGCAAGTAGCAGGGGCAATATGGCCGGTGAAGTTTACTCAGAAATCAATGAAACTCAGAACTCAGAACTCCACATACAAGACCAGGAGGAGAAGGAGCTCTCCTATAATTGGGAACAATGAGCCCGTTGGAGGGAGGTCTGAATAAAAAAAAAAAAATGATACAAAGTAAGCCGTGAGCGTTACACGCTGAGGGCATGCTCACAAGAAATAATAATTATTGGCAGGTTGATTCGAGCTAAGGTAAAAGGCCAAAGGGTCCGACGAGCGGACCGCTGCCCTCGTCAACATTTGGAAGCTTCATAACTGCTCGGCGATACCTTGGCTTAACCTACCAAAGATGCAATCCCAAGCAATCGGAACATGTCATTAAAAAGGGTAAGCACGCGCACGTGTGCAAACCAATACGCTCGCTGACCTGTGAAGTCTACTAATATGCATGGTGTTATTCAGCATACTTAATATAAGCTCTATCGGCCCAGCCGATCTGCGGTTATGGAAAAAGGGTGCGCGCGTGCGCACGTGCTAGCCCATACCCTCGCTGACCAGTACAATCTACAGGTCAGCATGGTGTCATTCGGCATACTTAAAGGAAAAGGGCCACCTTTAACATGGGGATTGAAACTGAGATAGCCATCTTGTAGCCCGTGTCCGAAAACCTACCTGTCTACCTCCTTACGGCCGATTTCGGCCTCCATTCGTAGTTATCGGCAATTTTAAAAGAAAATACGCCAGGAATGCGTCCTTACCCCAGGAATGCGTTCTTATCCGACAATACAGCCACCCGCGGCGAGGCTTTGATTTTTTACCAATCAGCTCCAACCAGCTCAGCTTTAACCAATCAGCATATCTGACACAATCCGACGAGTCTGTCTTCTGAACGCTGATTGGCTTGAGTGTGACGTCATCGCTATGCCATCATACAGTAGGTGCCGTAGAGAGTATCAACATAGTACCAATATGTTAAATAGTTTTAAATACTTTTTCGCGAATTGTGCACTTCTGGCACCAGTTTTAAAAAGAAAATGAAAAATAATGTCAAAATGAAAAACAACGATATCTTCATATTTCACGAAGGTGGCCCTTTTCCTTTAATATGAGCGTTATCGGCCCAGCGGATCCCCAGATACGGAGAAGGGGCACGCACGTGCGCACGTGCAAATCAATGTCTTTGCCAACCCGTGCAATCTGCTTATAAACATGGTGTTATTCAGCATACAAAATATGAACGCTATCGGCCCAGCCGATCCACAGATATGAAAAAGGGGTACGCACGTGCGCACGTGCAAATCAATGTCTTTGCCAGCCCGTGCAATATGCTCAAAAACATAGTGCTTTTCACCATACTTAATATGAGCGCTATCGGACCAGCCGATCCCCTCATACTATATAAAAAGGGGTACGCACGTGCGCACGTGCATACTAATGTCTTTGCAAACCTGTGCAATATTCATATTTACATGGTGTCCTCTAGCATACAAAATATGAGCGCTATCGGCCCAGCAGATCCCGAGATATTAAAAAGGGGTGTGCACGTGCGCACGCTCTGGAGGAATTCAAAACCGTCCAAAGGTCACCGGATGTGTAGTATGCACCCAGCCAAAACAACAAACAAATTTTGAGCTGTATCGCTTCAGCCGTTCCCGAGTTATGAAATGACGAGCTCTTCTGGAACCTCTCACGTCGCACGTGGCACGCGCTGTAACAGGCACTCATGAGTTTTATGGATAGCACAGTTCCATGAAGAAAGGATACATCTAGGGCTGATAATCCCGGGACTTTTTGGCAATCCCGGGATCCCGGGATTTTAGAAATGCAATCCCGGGATATCCCGGGATCCCGGGATTGAGCAGTTTTTATTTTAACCTGTCTACAAAGCAGAATTTTCTTGCAATATCGTATGTATATGGCGCCTCCTTACCATCATAAACACAATACCAGGCATACACCTTCACCCCGAACAAATATAAGAGCATGAATGACATTGATCATTGTATTTCTTGTTTATATTTCGAGTCAGGATACAGTAGACGTGCCTACGGATTGTGGTCGTCTGACCAGCAGCATGTCCTGGTCACATTCACTTGTTACGGTAGTAGCACTTGAGGAAGCAAAGTGCATCAACGACTTCGTCGCCGAGACTCGACCGCACTTTTGTGACGATATTCCCGACAGTGGAAAACACTCGTTCCGATTCAACGCTCGTAGGAACTATGCCCTTCAGCCAGTTGTAGGACAGCGCTACCATGCCTGTCCTTCCTGAGATAGGTAAATTTTCCAATTCTTTCCTTATGGCCTTCGTCATCATCAGAGAAGATTGCGAAAAGTTAATCCCTGCGAAAAGTTAAGTTGCGAAAAGTTAATTTCTTCCACGTTGTCGTCCTCATCCTCGTCATCACCGTCGGATTCATCTGACGAGTTCACCTGCAAGGCGACAATATCCTTACCTTATTAATCTATATAAGATGTACATATATTAAGGGGTCATCCTGCTGTGTTGGCTCCTCGGATTATTTGTAGATGAAGATTTACGACTCTTTATGCTTTAAGGAGAGTAATTGCGCGATGCGGATGAAACTGAGCTCGATGCTCTTAAGCCTTGTTCTCTGGGTGAAATGTTGTTTGTTCTTTGACTCTTATGAAGTGAAATCGCACAGTAAATGATACGAACTTTGGTGCACAATTTTCTACCATTTCGTCACTGTTATTCTATTTTCACGCTAGGTGCCTATATCAGATGTATGCATAATTGTATACTAAGCTCACCTGGTTAGGTCCACCACCACCACGGTCGTCATCTGCTTGTTCAGAGGTCTGCCCGGCGTCACCCGAGTACAGAGCGTCGACAACGGCGAGGTGAACACCGTGTGCGAAGCAGAGTTGGTGCTCACATGGCAGTGACTTCCCGAATTTCACCATCACCGAAGCTCCGTCGGTTGTGACGCAGGTGACGTGCTTACTGAGTTCAAGGCCAAATTCTGCCAGCTTGCCCTGCAGAAGATCCAGACATTTCTCTGCTGGCATCGATCCGTGACAACGCGCGACACCGAGACCCCACATGTTACCTTCGCAGTGGACAGTCACGCTCATATAGCGACGGTTTTTCAGGGACGTATACTCGTCGATCGTAAGTGAGAACCGTTTGCCATTTGACAATTCTTCGGCCAGCTTCGCTTTCACGTCACACTTCAGGCGAGCACAGTGTTTGAGGACACGCCGGCGGATCGTGTTGTGATGGGTTGGAAGGTTTTTATATCCTTTAGCAGCCAAAAGTCCGCGTAGGTCCGGTGAGGTACAGAAAACTGTAAAAGGTATCCCATCTCTCGCGCACATTCTAGCTAGGATAGCATCCAGGTCGTCGTCCGTTTTGGAAACATAGTAGCAATCTAAGGTCTTCATTCCTTTTAGATGCGGTGCCGTGGTTTTAGCGCTCTCACCTTGACCTTCGCCGGACACGTTTTGCGGCGTCTCTCCGGATCGGGATGGTCCAGCAACACTCACCGTTTTGGAGATACATGTCAACAAAAGTCATTACGGCGGCCGGTCGGGCCGAAAAGTTCAATTTTCCCAACTTCTGTTACGTTCCGTAACGAGTACGGTGGACGCTGCCAGTTTACGGCGGCTGGTTGCCACATTTCAACTCCGTCTAGAAAAGTCGCAATGCTTGGGGAATCTTGAGAAATGTCTAGCTCATTACGGCCGTAACGGTTACGGCGTCATTACGGATCCGGTGTGAACCACGCTCTTTGACACGCATTCGGGCTATCATGAAATTTGCAATGTAAGTAACATTCAGCTAGTAAGTAGTGGTCTGTGGGATCTCAATCGATTTAACCCGCGCCCCACTGGGGTCTGCGTATAACACGCCCTACTGGGGGGGGGGGGGGGGGGCTATTCATAGCCCCCCCTCCTAACTCCGAAACTACTGGGCCGATCGTCAAAATTCAAACGGCGTCTGATAGCCCCGCAAAAACTGTCGAGCGAAACCTAATTTCATTGACCTCGAGGTCACCGATGACGTCACAGGTCAGGTCAAAGTAAAAATTATTAGCATTTTGGCTTCTTCACGTTTTGGGCTCTGGCCGCCGTCTTACAAGTCAGATCAGGCTCATTTTTGGTTCACACACTCGTGAACAGATGCTCTAGATACTCTGAGGGTACCAAACTTGTACTTTGATTTTCAGGTCAAGGTCAGGTCATCACAGGTCACGAAAATATTATATCATCCGCCGGTCACGTGACACATGTTTTATGGTCCATTTAGGCCAAACATTTCGAATTTGATGTCGTCTGTGTCATTCGAGGTCATTTTGAGTCAAAATTAGCTCAGGTCAGGTCACTTTCAGGTCAAAAAAGGTCAAATTTTGAAGTTAAAATTTTTCGACAAAAAAGGTGTCTATTGGATGCAGTTTGAGCTCAGGAACACGATGGTGCTATTTATATTGGCGTACGATGTCAAATTCGTGCTGGAAAATTGATTTGAAAAATTAATAATTGTTAATTTTTTGCAATAATGCGTATACCTTGGCCATTTTTGAAGATATTTAGCTAAAACTTGCTAGAGTTAGTCATAATAATGCGTTCTATCACATATATTCCGGTTTTTTTCTGAAAGTCAAAAAGTTTTTGAAAAAAATGTAAAAATATAAATTTTGAATTTTATTATGTAAAATTTTCGAAATTTTCAAAATTTCGAAAATCCGAGATGGCAGTTTGATAGCGCAGTCTATTCTGAGTCCTCTCATGCAAAGAAATTGGATCTAGCTTAAAAACTGAGCTCTTGGGAGCGATTGCCGTGGTTCAATGTTTTGCGTCGAAATCGGCCGAACATGACGTCACTCTGACGTCATTTCCGGCCGACCTATGGTAGGTACGAAGTTCAAATTTTGACACAAGGTGTCAAATTGATGCAGCCGAAGGTACTGAAAGTTTGGCGTCGATACGTCAAGCGGTTTGTAAGTTATTGCAGAAAAACGGGAGGGGGGGGCTATAAATAGCCCCCCCCCCAGTGGGGCGCGGGTTAATGAGTCGTCCTTTAAGAACATGCGTCATCTTAAATTCTGTTAGATATTTGATGAAATGAACACATCAGAATCTGTTCCGGGAATTGGAAGCCTGGTTCTATTCAATGCTCACCATCGCGATACAGCTGTTCAACCTATAAAAATGCTTGTCTTTACATACGTTTGGTCATTGGTGATTATTCACCTCATTCAATGCAATCATTATCTCATTGATCATGATTAAGAAATTATTGTGTCGCCGTTTCGGTATTAAACTTTAGCTCGTGACCTGCCTTGGATTGGTCGGAGCTGGTGCGGACGGGATGTGTGACTGCAGTTGGAGGCTGTCGTAGACACAGGGGATAAACGGATGATGGACGCGAAGGACAGACGAGGGGGTGGTGGAAGACGCGGGGGGTAGATGCGGATTGCGGGGCGGACGCGGGGGTGGACGCTGGAGTGGACGCGGAGGACGGACGCGGGGTGGACGATGGTTAACTCGGTGGTGGACGGGGAGTGGACGGTGTTGTCGGACGCGGCAGTGGATGCTGGGGACGGATACAGGGCTGGACGGCGGTGGACGCGGGTTCCGGGTGGACGCTGCAGATGTGGACGCGGGGCTGGGCGCGGAGGCCTGTGGTGACGGACGCGGGGACGGCAGCTAATTAGCGCCCACAGAGACGAGGCCATCCATCCCCGCGGCAGCTGTAATGAGAACTGCGCCTGAAGCCATCCGTGGCAGCGACCCTGCCATATATACTAAATGTCGTCCGGCCCGGGGGCGTCACGCCATGGACAGTCACGAGACGCCTCCGGGACCTACCGCCGCCGGATGTCAACTAAAATAATTACTGGCCGTTTCTAGGTCATGTAATGAGTCAAGTCAAAATAATTAAGTCGACACAATTCAACATCTACATATTTATAGTGTAGTAGTTAGTACCTATAATTGGTATCATAAATGAATAAATGCATGAAAACCATTTAGAAGCTGATGAATACTATTTTTAGAATTCGGAGCATGTAAAATGAAATTTAGGTACAGACTGATTGGCCATTTACCTATTTTAGCTCCATCGTGCTCCTCCAAGGCACATTCAATATTATCATCATTTGACTGAGAGAGAACCTGTTCAAAATGTGACGTAAAATCAAGGTTATGATTGAAGTCATTCAGTTAGATGGGTGCTTCCTTCATTCATCTATATACAGTGTTGGACCCAGGTGGGAGCCTTTAGACCAGCAGTGGCCAACTGACAGCGGTGCTCTCCTATCAAATAACGGCCCCTGTCAGAACAGCTCTCGCTCCCGGAAAGTTTCTGCAGTTACTCGGGCGGACAGGCGGCCGGCCGATGTTTTTCGGAACTGCTTCTGGGAGCGAATGAGCTGCAGTATCTGGCAAGTAGGCGAAAATGCGATTAACTTTCGCTAGTGCAGCGCCTACCTGCCCCGCATCATAAAGGGTTGGTCTGGTGTTACATTTTATTTTCCAGCATGACTCTGAACCATCTTTTTAGGCTTGGTCGTATAAAGGCTTGACCAACTCGATACATTGAACGTTCAAAGTTTACGCTTATATGGCGTATCGACTTATTGACTGAACTATTGACGTTTGATGCTTAAAAAATAGGCTGGACTAACTACTGGAACAATTCTAGTACAGAAGGCAATCCACTGTGTGCACAATAAATGCTGTCCAGTGCATCCGGTAGCCAGTTCAATGAGCAAAGTAAAAAGAGGAACTAGCTTATTGTCATCTTCCCCTGACTTATGTTAGAGGTATTATTAGGCTTCAGGTCTGGTCTGCATACTGATGTCAAGGTTGAGTCTGGTCAGGTCTTATGGCCAGGTAAGAATCAGGTCTAACCTGATGAGCGGTCTGAGGCTGCATAGACGGCCAGTGCCTGGTTACTGACTAGGGGTCAGTGCCTGGTTACTGACTAGCGGTCAGTGCCTGGTTACTGACTAGGGGTCAGTGCCTGGCTACTGACTAGCGGTCAGTGCCTGGTTACTGACTAGGGGTCAGTGCCTGGCTACTGACTAGAGGTCAGAGTGCCCATGGTTACTGGTTAGTGATCAGTGTCGGGCCTGGTTAGGGGTCAGGGTCGGGCGACGCCCCACGGTGCGGTGCCGTGTCCCCGATCGATGCTCCTCAGCGACACGAATCATATGGACCGGCGCAGCGGCGGGCCATGGCCCACGACCCAACCGTGCGCTCCGCTGCCGCACGTGAGACATGGAACAAAAAGGTGCCATTAGGATACAGCTCGGAACGGCTAGGTGCCGACAAAGGGTCAGAGAGAGGAGCGGAGCTGACCAGCACAGACAGGATATGGAGTGGAGTAGGAGAATTTGACTATTCACCAGAAGACACGAAGCGCAGCAGTATAAACGGCAAAATAAGCTGCGACTGGGCACTGTGCAGCGTCTGTCAGCCTCGCCTGACGTGTCACGTGACCTTTGGTCCACGCCAGGGCCCTGGATTCCTTACCGCAGGGATCATGTCACGTGACATGACGGGCCACACCCAGGCTTAGCTACCTCACCGTAGTAACTATTTGTCAGGTGACCTGATGGGCCACACCCGAGGCTGGCACACCTCACCGCAGTGTCTGTCGCGTGACTGGATGAACCACACCTAGACTCGGCAGTCGGGACACCTGACTGCAGGTCATGTGACAGGCCTCAGCATATCCATATTCCAGTCCTTTGTCACCCAACGTTACCAGCCTGAGTTCTTCAAATATGTCGCTTGGATAGGTTCCCGCGTTGAACCGGCCCTATATGGTATGGTTTAGTCTGATGCGGTCCGGTCTGGTCTTGACTGGTCTAGTCGTTAAGCCTGGTCTAACCCAGTCTAGTCTGGTCGGCTTTGGTCTGGTCCGGTCTAGTCTGACCCGACCCGCTCTGGTCTGATCCGGGCTGGATTCTCCCAGCTATCACTGCAAGTCCCCCAAGTGTGTCCGTCTCCTGTGGTAACAATAATCCGAGACACCCGAGCTGCCTCTCAGTAGGACAGCTCTGAAGTATCGGTGTCCAGTACCGCGTCATAGTGTAGGTTTCCAGCTGAGATGGCGCATCACACTACAAAAACCTAGGAATGTTCATAACTAAGAGAGTCGTGCTCGCCGATTCATAAGCACCTTGCATTCTTGCCTGCCACCACCGGTGTTTTGGACATTGATCTTTCTTGGAACGCGCGATCAGCGATGAGCGCCAGTTTTCTTCGCCACAACAAGCAAATGCGACGTGATTAAACCAATACAACTGGTTAAAACATTTTCATCTCATGAGATGACTGTAATAAGTATTCAGATTCTTCGATTCGTTACATACAATACGCGTCACACAATGCACCCCATTATTATAAGAACATGCAATACTGTATAAGAAAAATCCTTTTGTGCCTGCCCATACACATTAATATGCATAGAACGTGCAGCGTACATACGTGCCTGTCGCGTGGGAGTGGAGGGTAATTTGTCTGCCGGTGCCGGGGTCTGACAGCACCCGGTCCCGCGGGGAGCAGGGTCAGAGGCAGGGGCGGCGGGCCGCGGCCAGCCGGCAGCAGCCTCCTCCGGCAGCAGCGGCGCCGCGCCGCGCCGCGCACACGGCCAATATCGACGGATGAGAAGTTCCATCAGCGTCGGCCGGGGATTGGGCGTCCCGGTGCGACGGCATGATTGCCGCGCACCGCTCGGCCCCATTGTGTAACAGGAAAATAGTGCAGCGGTCGCACAACATTGAGCGGCGACATATTAACGCCGCACCGATGACCGCAGGCCACTTGGGCCGGCAGGAGATTGAGGCAGAGAGGGAGAGAGAGTGTTAGGGAGAATAATAAAGAAGAACGAGAAAAAGGGAAAGGTAAAAAGAAAAGGGAGATGCAAGACAAGAGAAATGCAAGAGAAGGGAAATGAGATGGCTACACTTTTTAGGCAACTTGTATTCGGAAACAAGAGCTAATTCTTTGACAAAAATGGATTTTAAAACATGAAATATAATTTTGAAAGCAAAACGTCGGTGAAGCTTCTATGATCAAATAACATCTCAAGCTACCATGCTTGCAGGAGGCTGATCGAAGGTTCACTTGAGACCGGTAATGGAAGACTCCCAAAGGCCTCGGCCGGCCGACCTCATGCTCAGAGGACCTGATGGATGAGGCTCACGAAGCCCCAAAATCGCCCCTGAGTAGTGAAACGCAGCTTAATCTTCTCGACAAAGACAGATGTTGGAAATCAGAGACAGTTGAGGAGGACTCATGTGGATGTAGTTTGAACGTGATGGGGCTGCGATGGGCACGACGGCAGCAGAACAGGCGTAGCTGACTGCTCGCGTCACCTGGTGATTATTTGGTCAGATCACACCGGACTTGGGTCGTCTGCTGCTCTGGCCTATCGTCACTACAAATGTAGACTGTTGGTTTTGGTCAACGGAACATAAGCTGACTGAACTCCGACCCAATCCACATTCGACGTACGTTTTTTCGGCTACTAGTCGCCATGTCGATTGTCGATAGTGATAAGGAATAAGGATGTTATTATAGTGGAGACATTCACGCAATGCTTCGGGCACAATCCGTCTGAGGAGCATGGAGGATTGTCGAATGGGACCAAGAAAGACGCTTGGTGTTCACGCATGAATTCAAATTGACTGGAAATATGCAAGCATGATATAATTTTGCAGCGATTTGACAACGGACTGACTAGCGCGACTTCCCATTGCTTTCAGTTGTTGCTCTGAAATATCAAGTAGGTATGAGCTTACAGCTCAAATAAAAACATTTGAGAGTTTGGCTGTCCAAACAAACCTGAAACGATTGAAAAAAGCAGAAAAAACTTTTCAGTCCAGGTTCTACTAGCATATGGTACTCACGCATTTGCTTATTTAATCTGGTTTGTGGCTAAACGGATGAGCCACAGTCTGCCAAGTGAATTGGTTAAACTAAACAAAGCAAACATTGTTCCGGACTACTCAGATGTTTTGAGAAAATGAAAATCATAAAAGTGTTCTTGCATTTTAACATTTCCTGATTACAACATACACGCTGAAATACACCGGCTTCATCATCTAACACAATCAAGACATTTTTAACAACTAATGCGTTTTGCATTGCTTCATCACCAACCGACAGGAGCACATGCATACAGCCCGGAGGCCGGAAGCATATTGCTGCCGGAGGAATCAACTACGCTGATGGTTCTCTGTGGCCACCCAACAGGCAAAATATGACCACGAATGCTGACATCCACAATTCACATGCTCATTGCTCAGTGCTTCTGCAGAACACGACCAGCAAAAAAGCAAATGCTTAAGAATGAAGATGAAAGGTGCAGAGTGGTTGAGGACTGCTTCGTCTTTCGAACATCGATTTAAAAAGGGTCTGAAAACTAAAATGAACAAAACAAAATGAAAGCAAACTGTTTTAACTTGCTCCCCAACAACGTCGTTTTTGCCAAAGCTTCCACACATGGCTAAAGCTGTGAAGACACCGTTATTTTCATTTAGATTTAAGTTATGGCACGTCGACGCTGCTTTTCAACTTGGGATTGCCTTGTTTTCAACCAATGTGAAAATGTGTTGATCATTCAGTACCAGTACAGGACGTATCAACTGCGTAGGTAACCATAAATTAAAATTAAATTAACCCTCGCATGTGTAGGGGGGGTCGGATGGACCCCCCATGGTTTTTCGCGAATAACTCGCGTAAAAAGCGGCCGATCGCGACGAAACTTTAAGTACCCTCACATTGATCAATTTTACACCTACCCTGAAAATTTCATGACCCTGACCCAAATGACCTTTGACCTGTGACCTCTTTTCCGAGACCATGTTTGGCCGGAATCGCGATTCTGCGTATGTCGGCTCGCATTAGCCGCGCGTTTGCAAGCTTTTCGTGGTTTCAAACGTTCAAACATGTGATTTGATGTTGCTTCCATGCATTAGGGTGGGTGTCAAGGTCACCTGAAGGTCAGGTCAGGTCATTGACCTTTGGTGACCTCGGGTGACCTCGGTTCACTTTTTCGAGCTGTACATGTTTCTAGGCTAGTTTTTGGAGCTGAATTCGAATTTAGCAACCATTTGAACATTTACGAAGTGGTTTTGGTGCCTTCGTAACATGTTACGAAGCTGTCAGAGGCGGTTGACACGTACTACGAATACCCGTCACGACGCCTACTGGTTGACCTGACCTGACCTGACCCGACCTGGTCTAAATGCTTAAAGACATCATCTGTGATCAAAACTAACACGATATTCGTGATCAGCACCCCGAAAAACCCCTCAGCAGCCACACTTTACGACTTTCTAACAGGTCCCGATTTTCCCGACTTTGGGTCATTGACCTGATCTGGAAGGTCAACCAATGACCTAGGACCTTAAAATTGGGTATCATCGGCTTCCTCTCGTCACGGGCAACACGCTCGTTTTTTCCGCGAAGCTCTAGCTCGATCAGGGGCCAAACGGCAAGGGGGGGTCCAACCGACCCCCCCCCCCTACACATTAGAAGCTGGCAAACGCCGCACACATGCGAGGGTTAATAGCCTGAATGAATTATAGCAGAAAACCGGCTCAGCAAGTCAGCAGCTGCAGCTGGGCCCGTCGTTTGAGACGATACGTAATCCTAACGGCCAATATTCTTTGGAAAGGAAATATTTAAAATCTCTAGGGCATGGCTTTGTGCTTTCGCTGTCGTAAGATTTGTCTGAGAGCTTTCAGCTTGCCCTGCTTTTCCTGGCTAATCCTGGGCTGGGTGCTGGGCCGGCTGAGTCGTAAGCTCTCATGAGATCGGCATATGACTCTCGAAATTGATTAGATAGAGCCCAGTGACTTATTCAGACTTAGACGTAACGAACAATAAACCCCCACGAAAACATTTAGCAATGATTTCCCTCACTGCCAAAGAAACAAATAAAAGAAAGCTTGCAGCGATTTGGGCCAGATAACACATCCATCACAAAGAATCGTCGGTAATTGCATTCTTCAGCCACAGCGTCTCGAATATCGACGTGTCTCTACGGGCTGTTGATGGTTGTTTTCTTACCTGTGTCCACTCGCTCGCTGGAGACTCCCGTCCGTCCGCTGCCGGCTCCGTTGACCGGATCCGCCTCGGCACGTCGGTCACCGTCGGCCGGTCAGGGGTGCCACCGACGGTCAGCCGGGAGCGCCGCCCCACCTGGAGTCCCGCGCCACACTGACCGCTCCGTGCGGCGAGTCGGTCATCGGAGCCGACGCGGCGCACCGTCGGCAGTCCCGGCGCGTCGGAGGCGATCCCGGCGCGTCGGAGGCGTCGGACGGTCAGCGACTGATCCCTGGCGGACAGAGCGACGGTGTGTTCCATGACAGAGAGAAAAGGTCAGCGCTCAGTGAAACACCTACGCCCGATCGGTGAAATGACAAAGGAAGCCTGTCAGCGACACATGTCAAACAAGGGGATATTTCACCGGGAGGCCGACACTGACTATTATAAGAACATATGACACTTCACCGGCTTCCAAGGGACATGGAACATTGTTCGATTGTTGGATGAACGAGTCCAAACCATCCGCCTGGAAACAGATAAACGGCTATCGACTGGAGCGAGAGGAAACTCAAGAGCACTGAGGCTGGGAGTTCGAACCGAGGTCAACAGGTGCAGCCTTCCTCATGGGATCGTGAAAGAGTGGAACGATGGCATGATAACTGTTGTTGGAACGAAATCATCGTTCATTTATATCCAAGTATCGGTGAAACAGTATATATCTGACCCATTGGGCTCGGAGGGTTGCGACTAGCGGAGGGCGCGCGAGGATTCTGGCGGAGACAGCCGAAAAAGCTGGGCCGTAAGCATGCTGCTGGGATGGAATACAAGGCAAGAAGCCGTGTGCACTGTGCACTTTCAAAAGTAAAATGGATTTAATTTGAATGCAATTACTGGAAATTATTACTTGAGGGATTTCAAATATGTTTATATTTGTTTTACAGTTACAGGCACTTCGCTGTGCCTTTGATGCGTGCACGTATGTAATGTATTTGGTAAGGCCGTCCATGCAAGCCATATAGCGTCTGTCTTATCATCCACGCTGGTACTTATTTCAATCGCTGGTTTCAAATTAGGCTTAAATCTGTAAAATCGACACCGGCCGTGGCGTTGAATGGCGCCGCCGTCTCGCCTGTTTGATAGGTTCGCTGACAGCTGGGAAGTGTGAGCGTCAAAACACGCCGTAACAGCCGGCGCAAACACTCGCTGACAGAGCTACTGACAGCCTCTGACGGAGCCGAGATGACAGGTGGGGGTGTGCAAGTCTATATAGGGGACCGAGCGGTGGCGCCCGCGGCCGCCCGCAGCACCGTCGCGCCGCGACAGCTTCGCCACCATGGCCGGGGGGCACCACGTCGCGCTCCTCTGCTCTCTGATTATCGTCCTGGTCACCAGTGTCGACACTCGGTTTGCAGGTGGTGTGGATCCCGGTGAGCGATACTGCCGAGCGGATACGGTGAATTTTGGGTGGTGTCGTCTCCAGATAAAGAGACAGACAACGCTGGGCCCGCGCCCGGCGCCGTGCTGATGTATTTTCCGACTCAGTCTGCTTGGGTCGGGTATTTCCTGGCGATTTCTGTCTCAAAATCAAAGTGAAAATCGTGTCCTGACGAGAGAGATGGTATCTGAAAGTCCATGGTACATAGTGAGAGTAAATTCGGAGGAGGATTTTTTCTGTGTTAGTAATTGCAAAGCTTCTCAGATATTCAGAGGAAGGGACAATTTTTTTGTGCCGATGAATTATAAACGCTTGTGGTGCTGTTCGTTTGCTTTTCTCTAACCTTCTTCTGTCAGGTATTCCGTCTGATACGGATAAAGCTATTCTTCGCTCAAAAATATGCTTCCAACTTCGGTACCAAAATGAGATCATGTGTCATTTACAGGCTTTGCTCACTATCCTCGAGACAAGTCTGACGGTTACGCGGCCAACGGCCTTCTCAAGCCCAGTGTGACGCCAAGTCAGCGCTCTGCCAAAGTCCTCCCTGGAGCAAAGGACAACGACCCAAAGTCGACTTCATCAGCAGACGGACGCACACCGCTGCGTTTGACGCCAAAACAGAGTGAGAGCTGCGACCGACACCGACTCAGAAAATGTGGCACACGCACTGTGCATCCAGACAGAGCCCGCGGTGGTCTGATGGCGAGAAATGGTGAGTGCGAAAGTGGTGTCGGTATTCTTTGAATGTAATATATTGAATGTAATTTTTGAGTATAATTGTGCGTTCCAACAGGAACATCACGTGATGCTCATATTTCCTGATAAGATGACGAAATGTTTTCGAGCACAATACCACCTATATTGTTCAGTCACGATATTTGAATCACCGGGTAAGCATAAGCTAGCTCTACAGAATGCTATAAATAGCTTTTGGTATTTGTAAATGACTAATGAATACTTACTATCTATGCAATTATGCATTTCACCTATAAGATCACACTGCATCCTCATTTCAGCTCTGATGCCAAGAGGCCGTCCCGGGAGAGTCGTCTTCATCGATGCTTCAATGGCAACCATCCCCAAAGGTAAGGTATCTTTTGCTGCTAGCCTTTACATACTTCTCTACTCTAACAACAGACAGGTAATCGCCTATATCTCCGCTGCGTTGTTGAACCAAACCCCCGCCGTCCAGTACCTGGGACACGCGGCGGCCGATCCAGCGCCGGGTCGGGGCCGCCCGAGGCAGCCAATCAGCGGCCGGGAGCGAACACACCGCCGCGGGCGGTCTGCGGCCCGGATTGGACCAGCAGGCCCGGCAACAGCGGCTGCTGAGCTTAGCGTAGCGGGAGAAGGGCACTCAAGTCACACATCTAAAATATTTGCATATTGTGTAAACACATTTTGTAAAAATTATTGCCTATTTTTCATAGAGTTGCGTAACTGTTGCTAATCGGCAATAATAGAAGCACATATGTGTTTCCCCTAATGAGTAGTTTGAGCTGTTTTTCACGTTTTCCCACAGGGTTCAACATCCGCGGTCGTCTGCGGATCTCGCGGGACGCCGGCTTTTTCACGTCTGACCTCAGCCAGCTGTCTGGTCAATGGCAAACAGTGGACGCCAAAAGGAACGCCGAATGTCCGCAGAAGTGCTTGGACGCTGGGTTCTCCTATGCAGCGATGCAGACGCAGACAAACAGGTCAGTGCTGAAATGGTTACCAGGCACTTTTCAGTTCGCTTCACAGAATGCATTTTTATTCATTGCAGCACTAGACATATGAGTATTTTACTGAACCAGCCTGTAGCGTTTTTTTCTGAACTGCTTCCACACAGAGCCCTTGTTTGAACTGCTCAGCTGCCTTTGTTGATTGATGTGTTTCTCAAAGTATGACCGTGATGCTACAATTCACACAGAGGCTGGTGCAAATGTGCTCGTCAGCTGAACAATATCGAGCAGGCTACTCGAAAAGAGGTGATGAGGGGTGACATCCAAGTGCTCAATCTTCAAGCGATCAAACAAAGAAGACTGCAAGGTTCGTGGAGGCTGATTAGGTTTTTTTTGGATATGGTAACGCGCCTGCTGTTAATCCTTCATGCATTATTTTATTTCATTTTGTTTTTATTATAGGCACGCAAGTGTGAAATGAAAGCATCGTGTCCAACTAATACCTATTCTTTTTTTGTAGAAATAATTTTTTAGGCACGCAAGTGTGAAGTAAAGGCATCGTGTCCATCCTATTCTTTTTTGTAAAAATACATTTTTAGAAAAGCTATTTTTAGGTCAGGCAGAACAGCATTTACATTCCATTTGTTTCGTTTTCAGTAATCCAGCTGGCAAAACTTCACAGGCAGGTGGCCATTGCTAGCTACAAAATCATCATGAAGAATCGTAAGTCGTTATTTGCCAAGGAATCATTTCATTTTACAATTCTTACCAAAATCATGTTCGGCTAATTTATGCTGAATTTGGTCGAGGTCTTTGATCACACTGATATGGAACAGAAATGTGCAGAAAAAAAATCCGAAGGCACGCTTATAAATGCATATGTATGAGATTGTAAGCTTGAGAAGCAAGTTTCACACATTGTTTCATCTGTTGTTTCATATTAGTTTCATATATTGGAATCATTGCATTTTATTGACTGTGCCTCTTACGTTATCCCAGCGAAGTGGTACCGCTTCGTGACGGTAACTACCGTACCGAGCGCATACGGATTGCGGATTGGCATGACGAGATCCCCGTCAGTCTGCTTCAAACGCTGCGCTGCCGGCAGCTTCAACTATGCCTTCTACTCCGTGTAAGTCACCTGCGCAAAGCTCCAAAGATTGATGTTACCAAGTTGAATCATGTGGATAGAGATGTAGGTTGTAAATGTATTCAATGCTTTCGTCCCAACTCTGTAGTTCTGCCGTCTTGCCATGCAGACCTGCCAAGCCCGTTATCGCATGCATAGCACCTCACTGCTATACGATTTGTTTCCAGCTATGGATGCTTCTGTTCCAACGACAAGAGTGATGTGAAAGTGGTCCGACCTCAGTACCGCAAGCTGAACTATTTCGCTGCCGGAAGGACCTGTCTCTTCTACATTAGCAGAGTCAACAGGCTCAAGCCCTCAGGTAAGGGTAGTTGTGAGTGTTCCTCGGTAGTCAATGCATACAGTGTATGAAACAAGTGCATTGATGTCTAGAGTTATTAACGGCAATGATCCAAGAAACTGTTTTATTAAAATATTGTCGCATGCTATAGCAGGGTATGCACGAGTTAAATGGATATTCACTGTAACGTATTGACTTTATGATCCACAGGAACGGCGGCAGTAATCAAAGGACGAAAGGGTTACCTTATCTTACGGTCTCCAAACGGTGAGTACTGGATAAGTAGTTATTTCTATGCATGCCTCTACTGGGGTATGTCGGTTGAAAAGTTACGACATTTTGACGCCTTTTGGACACATCAGTGAAACTACATATCTGCTTTTCAGTGCTTCTCGAAGCTACCCTTCCAAATATGTAGTATTCTCCTGTAAAAAAACGTTTCACCCAGTCCAGTGCAGTAACACTGGATGTGCGTTGGCCGTCAGGCCGGGTACAGACGGGCCGCTTCATGGCCGCCAGTCTGCTCCAGAGTCAGGCGTGGCGCCGTCTGCCGGCCGTGCCGCCCCTCTTCTGTCTTCAGATGTGTGCCCTCAGAGGCTACACGTACGCCGCCGTCGGCAACAGCAAAGACCCGTGAGTAGTGAAGCTCATATGGTTTGTAACATGTCTTGGTTGCATGTATTTTGAAGTTCAAAATAATGCAGCTAAAATTCAAATTTTAATAGCCACTCTTATAGCAGAAAGAAACGTCGAGAAAAGCTTCCACGGTTTTCAAGTTTTTCTTCTTCAGGACATTTCCCATGGCCTTAGCGACAAATGGAGCTAAAATCAGGCGGTAATTTTCCAGTGGCAGCCCTAGCAGATCTCTTGCTAGCACAATAATTAAAAATGCCTGCTATTTTTGCTCTCAGAACATGTGACTGCGCAAGAACTCCACCAACAAATTTGCTGTTCCGGGTGTGGAGAAGTGACAGCGACAAGCAAGTGTTTATGCTCAGCGGCCTTCCAAAAGCAGGTGAGAAGCAGAAAGAACAAAGGTGCATCGTTCTATGTGCGCTCAAAGCCATTCAGACCTAAAATCATAGCACAGAGAGACGGGGCAGGGATCGTCAAATCGTCTGAGAATATTTGGGAGGCGCTGCATAATTGCGTGTGCTAGACGTGCTATGATTAAAGATTTAGAAGTGACTAGAACGCGGCTGGCACTTGCTACATAAATTTGTTTTTTAACTTCATTAACTTTGTAATTCGGTAATCCATGTGAGTGACAGCAGTAGTGCAGGTGCTTTAATATCTTTGTTTTCTTGCATTCCTAAATCCCTTTTACCCGTAAGCATATTGATTTGCCGGACTCCAATGAACGTGTAGGGCCCGTCAGTATGACAGGAAGTTCGACGTCTGTTGAAAATGCTCACCATTGGCCATTCCGCTTGCAGGAAAAATGACATCGGTAACCGTCATGAGAGGCAGTTTCCTCCAGTTTACTTTCTCGGGTGAGTTATCTCTCTCATCTTTTACCGATGTCAGAGCAAACTATTCCATCCGTTGACCTATTTCCGGTCTCTATCGACAGAATATCACTGTGTGTAACCAGACGAGTTGGCTGTTGGAAATGCTTTTGGAAAGGGCTTTTCTGAGCGAGAGAAGTTTTAAAACTCTGTTTTAATTGCCTTGCCAGCTGTTTGCTCCGAAATGTAAGATTGTGCCTCTGCGGCTGACCATCTCTGTCTCCCTGCAGGGACGTCGGCGGCTCGTCCGATCGTGCTCTACCTGAGGTCGGCGCCTCCTGCCGGCTGGACGTTCCGATTGCCATCAGGCGGAGACAGTTTCCCTCAAAAGTACCGGCTCCTCGCATACTGTCCGCTCATGTGCAGAGCACAGGGCTTCCCGTACGCTGCCGTCCGCTTCCAGCCCGCGTAAGTAACGATTGCTCCTCAAATAACGCGTTATGTAAGCTCATACGTGCAACGATCGGTGCATCGCATTTGTGCTAATTGGATGCAACATGGATATGCAATATCGCAACGCGAGGATTAGCGTCAATACAGCATTAACTTGATTAAAACACGGGATACATTATCATTAACCGTTGATAGTATTTTTGAAAGAGCGTCCACTTTCATAAACATGCTGGTAATTCACGTAGTTTTAGGGCATGTAAAGTCAACCATTTTCCGTTCAGAAAGGTTGAAAAAGTCTAAAATCGAATGCGTTGGCACTTCAAGGATGCAGATGGTGTCCTCCGCAGCGAACTGGCGGGTAGGCTGTGCCGCAGTACACCACTGTGCGGTGGGCCAGCCCACCAGTGCCCTTAGTGCTGTAGCGCGTTTCCATGCCTCGTGCTGCCAATGTGATTTGCGAACAGTGAGTTAATGGCACATGACATTCTATTGTGCGACTTTTGAATTTCCCAGAGATCTTGGGTTTCGGATAGCTCTTACATATGCATGACCGTATAAGGAAGAAGTCTTCGACCACAAATAAACTTGCGATAACGTTGGATATAAATTTTATTCACGATGTCAACAAGCATCAAATGGGCTACAGCGCTGGTAGGCTGGCCCGCCACACAGTGATGCACTGCGGCACAGCCTACCCGCCAGTCGTCCGCCCGGACGTCAGCCGGCGTATCACAGTGATGCAAATGGGGTTCACGAGTGGCCATAAATACCCAAAAGTCAAGTTTACCAAATCGAGTTAATTGCGATATGGCCGAGTAGACAAATGTTTGGGGCATCTGAAATCACATGGTTTTCATGTTTTTGTCAAAACCGGCCTCGTGTATCATCGTCAGAAGTCGTGACATTTTCTAGGTCGTAAAATGACGGTCAGACACTCGCAAGTTCAAACGCCGCTGGTTTGCGTTCATTTCGTACAAATTGAAAAAATTATGCATGAGAATGATCCCCAAAGCCTTCTGCTTCTAATGCCGGGTCACAAAAAGCCGTATCTCATTCGCTTTGGCGGTAATCTGACTATTTATCATCGTGTTGCAATCGCAGTTTTTTACTAAGAAAAAAATGCTTTCGTTTCACCTACAGCACTTAACACAGTGCGTGCCCGTTAGTCCACCATACCATAGCCTTCCCTAATCATTTCTGAGTCGCATCGTGAAAGAATTAAGGCGCTATCACAGGGCTGACCGGCGCTACAGAGGTTTTTGTCCGTGCGGTCGGGTGCCGCAGTGGGCGCGCAGTGGGCGGGTGAGTGCCGCCGCGCGGCGTCCGGGCGGCGCGGCGGCGCGGCCGCCCGGGCCGCCCGCTGCACCGCGGCACCCGACCGTGCCGGACGAAAACTTCTGTAGCGACGGTCAGCCCTGTGCTAGCGCCTTAATTCTTTCACGATGCGACTCAGAAATGATTATATTGTTTTGTTTTGTTGGGTTAGGCCCTTTCGGTCGACAAGACCATTGCAGAGCCGGAAGGATGATAGGAATTAGGGGGAGACATTGGTCTGGGCAGGCACCCTAGTGAGTCGCCGGGGCTGAGCCCGTCCAGAGGACAGGCCACCCAGCCCCAAGGCACTCACTGCACCCGGCTACGGGGTGCGCTCCCTCAGGAGCAGCGGTGCCGCTCCAAGGGAGCAGCCCGCATGAGATAAAGTTGCCTGTCCAGCCCGGAAGGGGGTTGCGGCGTGGAGGAGAAGGATTTCTGTATCCCGAGGATAGAAGCACGGATAGGTGAGAAATGATTAGGGAATGCTATGATATGGTGCACTAACGGGCACACACTGTGTGAAGTGCTGTAGGTGAATTGAAAGCAATTATTTTTGGTAAAAAAACTGCGGTTGCAACATGATAACAAATAGTTAGTTCACCGCCAAACCAAAATAGATACGGCTTTTCATGACGTGGCATTAGAAGCAGCAGGTTTCGGGGATCATTTTCATGTATAATTTTTGCAGCTTGTATGACATGAACGCACGCTAGCGGCACTTGAATTTCAAGTACCTGACAGTCATTTTACGACATCGAAAATGTCTCGACTTCTGACAATCCTACACGAGGCCGGTTTTGACAAAAACATTAAAATCATACCTTTTCAGACACCCCAAACATTTCCCTTTCTGACCATATTACGATTTATTCGATTAAGTGAACTTGAATTTTGGGCCTTTTTCGTATTTATGGCCACTCGTGAACCCCATTTGCATCACTGTGCTTATGAGGCTGGGGGTTTACTGAGTGTGTCCGAATTATAAGCACTGAGATCCGAAGATTGTGTATAAGTTTGTGGATATCCATGCCCCATGTTTATTTCGCATGCTTGAAACTGTCCATATGCTTAAGCTGTTTGCAAATAACCTAAAAGATGCTCTAATCTGGAAGTGGCTTTTATCGATAAGATGTCAGCTTGTTTCTCCCTCGTCTTCAGTCTCCATTTTTAGTGTCTATTGACTGCTACGTTTGCCCGAAAGCGTGTGTTTCTTTATGTGACGGTAGTGTCGTGCAGTGTAGTGTTCCGCAGTGTAATTAGTGAGCCTGGGACATCCTCCTTACTGTAATGTTTGCCGATAGCGGGTGCTCGTGTCTGGGCCCGGCCGAGGTGGACGCCGTGCGTTCCGACACCAGCAGCTCCCCTGACGGCGCCTCACCAGACAGCACCATCCAGATCATACAGCTCGGATCGCTCCAAGGTTCTGCCTTCCCCAAAGGTGACGGACGCTCATTTCACATATTGCATTCACATTACCACGGAGACTGAAAAATACGTACACAAAACGGGAGTTCATGCCGGTCAATCAACTGGTGTAGGGGTGAAGGACGTGGGCACTCTGTAAGCTAGGTGGGTATTTTCATTTTTATGCATTGCATAATGCATACGTGTATGTAGTTGAGAGGTTCTAGTGCATCCGCTTTAGGTCGCCCTGCTCTCCTCTCCTGAGTGAGCGGCTACGAGTAACCCTAGAAGATGAGTAGGCATCTACGAGCGTGAGCTGAGCAAACTTCAGTTAAGTAACTGTGAAGGGTTTAATGGCTGACGAGTGTTTATCGTCGTGAGGCACTCTTTGCGAAGCACTCGGTGCAGATGCAGGAAAAGGTGGTGATCATTAAGTGTCTATATCTCCGTCGGCGTCCTGTTGCAGAGCTGCTGGTGCTCGACCGAACTTCCAGCGGGGATCAGTGGTCATTCAGTCCGCGATGGATCCCCATCTCCATCAGACTCGGAGCTGGCTCACGGGGCTCGCTGGAATTGGAGGGGCAGACGAGATCTGTCAGCGGTACGTAGCTCAACCAATGATAGCTGTATATACAGGGGTGATGGACCTTTACTTAATATCATAACACGTTAATGTAAAATATCAGCTAAATCAATATAATATAAATATTTAGATGTTTTTTATCATAACACAAGTACAATGATTCAAAGCGAGAGATGAGATACTCTTTACTTCGAACAGCGGTCTTATGGCCTTGGGTCTTATCATATTTTATATACTATCCACGCCTAAAAGAAATTACTTAACCGCTGCATGTTGTTTCTCGGCAGTGCTTGCTTCTGGTATCCCAATCAAGACTCCTCCCGTTTTCATCGATGCTGGGGCGGCATTCGTTCCAAAAGGTACGTCTTTGTGGTTTTGTGGAAGTGCTTGTCTGGCCACCATTTCCTGACTACTTATTACGTCTCGGGTATTGTGATTTTAGGTTTAAAAGAACAACGAAGGGCAAAAGTTGAATGCTAATAAATTTTCGCCGCTTTGTTTTAGTTCATTGTTGCCCTTCTTTGGTTTCTATTAATAATAAAAAACATAAGATATGCGTGATTACTATTCACTGTAAAAACTGCGCCTAACGACAGCTTTCAATAACAATTTTCAATCACTTTGATCGTATTTCCTCAGGGTTCAACATCCGCGGTCGTCTGCGGATCTCGCGGGACGCCGGCTTTTTCACGTCTGACCTCAGTCAGCTGTCTGGTCAATGGCAGACAGTGGACGCCAAAAGGAACGCCGAATGTCCGCAGAAGTGCTTGGACGCTGGCTACTCCTATGCAGCGATGCAGACGCAGACAAAGAGGTAAGCTGAAATTGTTACAAGGAGGACCAGTGCATGCGTTCGTAACCAAATAAGCCACCTATGGAAAATTGTTCCACTGTTGGAAATTATCGTGTTGTATTTTCCAATCCACATATCAATGCTTACTGTTGAACGTTTTCAGCTCATATTCCTAGTTACGGAAAACATCGAATGAAAAAATTACGGAATAATTCCACATGTCTCCTCGTCGGCCCGGCGCTCAAAATCTTGACTCGTGGCCAAAACTCGCGGCGGTCACGGGACAGTCAACCCGCTGGCTGCGGGCGACCTTGACCACCGACCAGTGAATCCTTTAAGACTCTCGCCATTTTAGCCCTATTCATTCTGTTTGACAATAGCAATCCACCAATAACAATACCACGATATGAATTCTACAATTCGTCATCCATAAATCAATTGACAATTTAATGCTAGCTAACGTCTTTTTCAGAGGCTGGTGCAAGTGTGCTTTGCAGCTGCAAAATATAGACAAATACGCCAGGAGAGATAGTGTAAAAACAGGGGACATTCAAGTGATCAGTCTTCGGCGTATAGGAGAGAAACAACTTCAAGGTAGGTCAACTGCCCGTACCTAATGGATAATGTGTGTTTAATGGCTCAATGTTGCACAATAAATCACTGACATATGTTATGAGCTTTTCCACAATTGAGGAACTGTGAAAACTGGAGGAACTGTGCTCCCGTTGTTTGCTGTCTCACGGCCCACGTCCTATTCCACAGTCGCGAGGCTGGCTGAGTTACACAGACAAGCCGCGATCAAGGCCTACAAAATGATCATGCAGAATCGTAAGTTATTTTTGACATCTCCCGTAGATGACATTTTCATCATCAATAATTTGGATTTTCTGCTCAAGTAAATGTCATTTTGTAGGCTGTAGCAAACCGGTTGTATTTGTTGAAAGAAGTCTATGAATATTAAATACCAATCAGCTTCAATACTTATATCTAAATATAGCATGAGCTGTGAATGACACTGATTACTTTAAACTAAAGATGCAATTTTTGCACTTGGATATCTTAATCGGTGAAAAGAATTGTTTCACAGCAAAAATGTAAAACGTTTGTAACAAAGTAAATGCTGTATGTTTTCAGCTAAATGGTACCGTCAAGTGACCGTCGTGTCTGTGCCGAGGACGTACGGACAGAACATAGGCATTGCCAGCAACCCGGCGTCCTGCTTCAAGGGCTGCGCCACGAGCAACTTCAACTACGCCTTCTACACAGTGTAAGATGAGATTACTATTGTCTACCATGCGTTTGTGTTTGTACTATTGTCTACTATTGTCTATTGTCTACCATGTGTTTATGTACTATTGTCTACCATGTGTTTAATGCGTATTTTTACATGCATTAACAGCAGCCCATGCTAATAAGAGATGCGGTGATCGTTATATGGAAGTGTTAACTGTTATTAGGCATATACAGCAGAGACAGTGCGTCGTTCACTAATACCACATGACGTGGCATGTCTGTTGATGAGATCATTTTGAACGTTAAATGAGATAGGCTGGTTGGTCGTATTTACTTGTATAATACAATTGCACGTTGTCCACAGTTATGGCTGCCTGTGTTCCAACGACAAGAGCGACGTTAAAGTGGTCCGGCCCCGGTACCGCACCCTGAAATATTTCGCCGCTGGAAGGACCTCTCTCTTCTACATCGGCCGGGTCAACAGGCTCAAACCTTCAGGTGTGTCATGAATTGATTGTTCGACTGGCAGCAGACTGATATACAGGGTGATCCAAAAAAATTGGAACCCCTAACTTAAAATGTCTGTAAGTCAGAAAATTTTCACTTAATTGACAAATTGCAAACACCATTAGAAAGAGCGTTCAATTCTCCATAAAACCAAGTTGATTGAAGTTAATTATTATTCTAAATATTGCCCTAGACATATGCCTATAAAATTTGTGTCACGAAACTCAGTGAAACGGTTTTGAGCATCATGCGCAAATCAGTGATTGACGGTTTGCTGTTCTGAACATGTCGCTTGTTGGAGGTTCATAAATAAAAATAGCTCATTCACGTGGTATTGTAAGGAAAGGAAAGGCTGACGGCCTGCTGGGACCAGTTGTCCCAGAGACTGCTGGTCCGCGCGGTCGGAGCTGTCCCCAAGCAACTGCAGGCCTGCGTGACGGCCCACGGAGCTCGCGTTGAGCACATGCTGAGATGAACAGCGGAAGCTAGGACGCGTGTATCTGTTCTACTGTGTGCTTCTGTGTAAACTTTTATGTAATAAAATTGAATTTGGATGTGGTGTTATTCGCAAAAAGACAACAGATAGAGTGCTAACGGATTTCAGCGCATTGTTAACATTTAGCGAGTTCGTTTCACTCAGTTTTCTGACGCTCATTCCAAAAACTAATAGTGTGCCAATGCTTTACAACATACTTGCACCAATTTGACGTTATTTTACAGAGAATTTAATGCTCTTTCTTATGGTGCTCGCAATTTGTCAATAAAGTGAATACTTTTGGACTTATAGACATTTTAAGTTAGGGGTTCCAAATTTTTTGGATCACCCTGTATGTAGTTCCATATTTGCCAATCCGCGAGGAGGGAGGCATGTGTCTGACTATGTTAAATTAAGTGCATTGTTTTTTTCAAATGTATGCCGAGCCGTTCGGTTTGTTGTCCACGTTCGTTTCGTGTCGAGTTGCATATATTTGGTCACAGACTTCTCTATACAGAGAAGAGAAGTCTGTGATTTGGTTAACATATTCTTTGTTTAATTTCCAGGAAATGTGAATATTTACGAGGGGCCCAATGGCTTCATCGTCGCACAGTCTTTGAAAGGTACGTAGAAGGAGTTTCTTGATTTCATGGGGTTGATGTAATATTGCCAAAGACGTTATTCAAAAGCCATATTGGAAGGTATTTCTGGTTTAACCCGCGCGGGGCTGGGGGGGGGGTAAATTTTACCCCCCCCCCCTCGCGAATTTTTGCGATATCTCAAAAACGGTGGCGCGCAGCGCCGCCAAACTTTCAGTACCTTTTCTTACATCAATTTGACACCTTCCCTGAAAATTTGAGCGAAATCCGTCGGATAATTTTTGAGAAATTGACGTTTTAGTGACGTCATGTTCGCCATTTTCGCCTCAAAAACGGCAAAAGTTCAAACGCCGCTAACATCTTCATTTTTAAAGGAATCAAGACGTAACAAAAAAGGTTATACGTAATTTTACTTTGTCTATCAAATGGCTATCTCGGTTTTTTGAAAATTTTGGATTTTGGCCTAATTTTTTTCAAAAAACTGATTTTTTGGGGAAAATCATTATAAAATCCAAAATTTTGAGTCTATCAAAAAAACCGGAATATATGTCAGAGAAGTGGTCTATGCGCACCTACATACCAAATTTTAGAAGAATCGGTTCAAAAATGTGGGAGTTATTCAAAATTTTATGACGTCACGACACACAAATTTTTTGAAAAATGACTTTTTTGGAGGTTATAGACCTCGTACGGAAACAAAAATAGCACCATTCGATTCGCCGTGAAAAACTGCATCAGATAGACACCTTTTTAGGCCTTAACAACCAACTTCAAAATTTGACCTCACTTGACCTGACCTTGACCTGACCTCGACCTGAAATTCATCCAGAGGTGGTCCATATCACTTATTGAGTGTGCCTATTGAATTCTATGAGTAAAATGACCCATAAAACATGTGTCGCACATGCCCTTTTCTATATTTTGTTTTTTGGTGACCTGACCTGACCTGACCTGACCTTGACCTTGACCTCTGAATGATATTGTATGCAACTAATATTGTCTTGGTAGCCTAAGAACACGTTTTGGGCGATCAGTCTCAGTCCATGACTCCATTCTTCGGCAACTACGGTGCAAGGCCGATACTGTAGAAACTTGCAATTTGTACCCTTGACCTGACCTTGACCTTGACCTCAAACTTTAAATTAAGTACATGTTTTTAGTAGTTCGTGATGAGAGCTTTCGATTGGCGTTTGAATTTTCCAAATCGGACCATTAGTTCGGGAGATAACAGGGGGGTAAAATTTACCCCCCCCCCCCCAGCCCCGCGCGTTCGGCTGGAGACCCCAGCCCCGCGCGGGTTAATGAAGCCCGAGGATCGTGTTGGTCCCAACAAATTATGTAAGTACGAGTGGTGTATGACTTATCCGTTATAAGGTCTATCGTCTTTTGCGTTTGAAATCCACACCGCTGATGTCTTTTGTGCGTTGTCTGTCAGGCCGGGTGCAGACGGGCCGCTTCATGGCCTCCAGTCTGCTCCAGAGCCAGGCGTGGCGCCGTCTGCCGGCCGTGCCGCCCCTCTTCTGTCTCCAGATGTGTGCCCTCAGAGGCTACACTTACGCCGCCGTCGGCAACAGCCAACACCCGTGAGTAGCGAGTCCATGCGAACGTTGGCATTTGTATGTGGTGTGAAGGTGGCACCGACCGATGCCTTCGATCAGCTACTGCCGTCCGGTCTTGGACCCGAGCGCTGCAACCGATGATGCATCCGTCGCGGACTTGCCGTGCTGTTGGGTTTACGTTTATGCCTCATTCTTTTACATATGTCATGAGCAGAACTTTGTGTCTGTTTTTCCAGACCATATGCTACGAAACTTAATCCAAAACGATAAGAACATGAGCTAAGTAGGTAGATAACTCAGTACTTTATTTTTCAGTACATGTGACTGCTCAAAACGATCTCCAAACGAAGCAGATCTCTTCCGAACGGCGAAGACCGACAGCGACAGACAAGTGTTCTTCCTGAAGGGACTGCCGAGGATAGGTGATGAAGTTTGTAGTCTTGATTTTGCAATTTTAAGTGAACAATTCTAAAAAAAAACAATTTCATGATCATTGTCATTTGTCAATGTTTAGTTACGGTGCTTACTGCTTATGTCACATGCTAACCGTGATAACATTTAAAACTCTGTTTTTAAATATTAAGTGAGGTCGGTCTTTTGGGCGATTTTGGCATGGAATGAGATAGCTGTTTTGCGGAAAACTTAGCATGAGTCTTGAGCAAGCCATGGTAAATGTTTTTTTTTTCAATCTGCACCGTCTTTTATTTCACGGTCATGCACACCGATAAAGCTCCCGCCTTTCAACCGCGCCTTGTGACCTGTAGTAATGTCTCAACAGAAGTTTGCTAATTGTACCTTTGCTACATTTCCAGGAAAAATGAGCCTAGTCTACGTAACAGAGAACAGCTTCCTGCAATTCATATTCTCCGGTAAGTTGTCACTGCTATCGCATGGCCTTGATTGTACGCAGGTGCAGTTTGATAACGGGTCTGGCTCCTAAAAAAGCCACATGCCTTCCCGTTCTAACTTCTAAGCGGCTGGGATTGGACCATTGTGATTAACTGATTCGTTTCTCTCTGGACTGGAGTCTACTCCTCTGCGGTTGTCTTCCTCTTACTACCTCTGTCTCCTTGCAGGAACGTCGGCGGCTCGTCCGATCGTGCTCTACCTGAGGTCGGCGCCTCCTGCCGGCTGGACGTTCCGATTGCCATCAGGTGGAGACAGTTTCCCTCAAAAGTACCGGCTCCTCGCATACTGTCCACTCATGTGCAGAGCACAGGGCTTCCCGTACGCTGCCGTCCGCTTCCAGCCCGCGTAAGTAGTTATCAACGGTTATGAAAATTCGCTTTCGCATAACTATGTGTCAGTACCACTTCTACCAACCGGATGCCATTTTGATAAAATAATAACATAATAGGGCCGCAACCAAGCACCAATCTCGCACGTGATTACGGGCAACCGATGCAATCAAATCAGCAACATATATTATAAGAACCATTGAGAAATGAACAGAGCAGAACAGCCACCGGGTCACTCAAGCCCGAGCGTTACTTACAGTAGCGATGGTAGGCTGACCCGCCATACAGCAGTGTATTGCGGTACAGTCTACCCGCCAGTTCGCTCCGGACGACGCTACGGCCGAATGGCGTCCGTTAGAGCAGTTGAGAGTACGATGCTACCGTACTTCTTGGGCGATTGTGTCCGGATTTCTGACATGAGACAGCTAAAATATCCCACTGTTTAAAGCTGTTTTAGTGTCGGTCGGTGTATTGTAGTTAATCGAATGGTATGTCGACAGCGGGTGCTCGTGTCTGGGCCCGGCCGAGGTGGACACCGTGCGTTCCGACACCAGCAGCTCTCCTGACGGCGCCTCACCAGACAGCACCATCCAGATCATACAGCTCGGATCGCTCCAAGGCGCTGCTATTCCCAAAGGTTCGCTCTGTCAGTTCGGGTACTTTGTGTCACTGCTGTCTGTTATTGCTTCCATGATTCCTATGATTCTCCGCCGCACTACCTACCATGGTCTTTAAATAGCGTGTAGGCGTGTACATGTATCTTGGTTCGCATTGAATCTGGCTATATTTCTGATGATATTTCTTCTGTAATTTAGGTACCCTAACCTAATCAATATACGAATGATTCAGATATTTTCTTTAAGAACGAGAGGTTATTTAGAATAATCAGAGACCAGTTAAATAACCCATATCTCTTTTGGTGCTCTCCAGAATTACTGGTGCTGGTCCGAACTGCCAGCGGGGGTCAGTGGTCATTCAGTCCCAGATGGATCACCATCTCCATCAGGCTTGGAGCTGGTTCAAAGGACTTCCTAGACTTGAAGGGACTGACGGGGACTTATGATGGTACGTACATACGCCTCTTTTTACTTTATTTTTTGTTTGTCCATTTGTTTGTCTATCCGTCAATACCGATAGACAAACCAGCCAGGTTTTGCCGTTTAATGATTGGGGCAATGATTCTATATAAGACATCTGGAACTCCACACTTCGTGCGTGGACCGTTTCGGTTGGTTTGCTTTTGATGATCATCACTCATTTGAATGCCTGTTTTGGGATTGGATGCTTTGTTGTTTTGTTCATTCGTTCAGCAGCTTATTTTTATATTTTGCAAGGATCAGAACTCGATGAATATAAGCCAGTCTTTGAAGAGGCCCAGATGTCACTATTCTCTCTTTCGCAGGTATTTCGTTCAGATTTGATGTCCAAGATAACAATTACTACTTCTTATTCATCAATGGAGGTACGTTCCATGACCACACATGAGCCTTCAGCCTTCTTACAGAGGCCTGATCAGTAGGCCCTCACAAAAGTCACTCTCGGCGATAAAACGGCCATGAAAAGTTTTATTGTAAGTGTTTTGCTTGAAAGTTTATTAGTTGCCCGTTGTGCGTTAACTTTCATCTGAATATATCACTATCAGATCCTCACATTTAATTAAAATGCTCGTATAAATTAACTAAATTAACTACCCAAATGCGACGAGAACGCGCAAGCTTCCCATACACGGTCGGGCTCGACGGAGTTGGTTGGGTCTTTGTCCCACAAAATTATATGACAGGGTGTAACTGGTGTCATTTTTTGTCAGCCCCGGCTCCGAGCGGTTTCAGCGGCTCGCTGCCGTCCGGCGACTGGCGGGACCTGGGTCAGCGGCCCGTGTCCGACTGTCTGGCCGCCTGCGCGCGCCACAACCTCCTCTTCATGGCTGTGCGCGTGCAGGGCGACACGACCACGTGCTGGGGCGCGCCGGCCGCCGACCTCTCCAGCCTGCAGCACAGCGCTCCGGACGTGGCCGGCATGTACCAGCTGTTCAGCCTAGACGGACTCCGGGTCGGCCAGAAGAGTCACTTCTCCTACGGCGGAATCGTGAATGTCATTTCGGAGAGCCTCGCGAACGGCTACGAACGGTTCTCAATAGTGATGAAAGGTGAGGAATTACCCATAAACCAGGCTGAACTAAGCACCGTGTTTGCCCTTGCACTCCTTTTACTTTCGCCCTCAATTTTTGCCGTCCTATTTCGTCCTATTTTTTCTTCGAACCATTTCTAAATGAAAAGTCATCGGTCGCTTCTTTATTCCCGTTTTAGGAGACAGTCAGCCGTCGCCGCTGGTCAGCTACTTTACCGACACGGTGCCCGGCTCAGTGCGCTGGCTGCCCACCACCTTCCTGGACAGCCCGGCCGAGTGTGTGGCCCGCTGCTGCGGCCTGCGCTTCTCGCTGGCGCTGGTCCGCTCGTCGGGCGACCGGCTGTGTCTGTGTGGCGACCTGCGTGCGGGCGGTGATCTCGGTCTGACGGACACCAGTCCTCCGTCCAGCGCGGGGAGCATGCAGGTGGTCCGCCTGCCGGCGCCGCCGCCGCCAGCCGAGCCAGACAGCTCAGTAGACGACGGGGAGGGAGGTGAGTGGCGCACACGATGGCACCCCCGGGAGAGGGGGGAGGGAGGGGGTCCCCACTGGCGCCGACTGGCACCGAAGGCGTTCAGACGAGCGCCAAACTATCTGGATCAGTACGGCTCACAGTCCGACACAGCCGACGAGGACTGATGTTAGACGATTGCGGCTCTGCTACTTGTGATGGATCAGAGCTGATGCTGATGTATTGTGCTGTCTGTTCTGCAGGAGTGCAACACTCAAGGATAGTGGCATCCTGGCTCACGCCTACGCTTTGCAGAATCATCGTGAATGGAGGTATGTCTGGAGCTCCGGGCATAATTGGTTGGTAAAGTGACATTAGGGTTTGTTTTTGATAAGCTTCTTTATTTTACAACATACTAGCATCATCAACCAGCTAAAGGTATCTCAATGACACGTCCCTTGCTGCTCTCAGACACGCAGAAGATGTGCAGTACCGAAATAAGTGGTTCAAATCAAATTGTGATATCACGGTTCAAACCAAATTTTGATAACCTATTGAGCTGAAAATAAAGCAAGTCTTTACAAACCAGTAATCTCCGTAGCCATAAATAGTTCACTTTTCATTCGGAATTAGTTCCCTTATCCAATAATGTTTTCCTTATCCAGGATTATTTCAGACGTGCTGGAACATGATTCAATCAAACCACCAATTGTCATCACGATAAAGAAAATGATTATATAATGGACAGAAGTTTTAACTAAAAAAAGTGTAGGGGAGGATGGGGTAATTTGGCTGCTTTTTAAGGAAGCGCTGTGCTCGAAATTGGCGACAAAAGTATTTTTACACTCTCTCAACGCTTGCAGGTGTAGCATTCATTTTACTTTCTAGTTTCTTGTACAGTAAACTGAAAATGGTAGAGCAACTACTTATAGCTGAATTTTGACGTTTTACAAAGGTCTGCAAAGCGGCCAAATTGTCCCGCTTGCAGGGTTATTTGGCCCATGAGGTGGGACAATTTGGCCGGTGTTAATTTGAGGCCTGGATCTTATGTTACGGGCGAGTCAGCTTCAGCGTCAGCAATGACATGTGTCCCTTACACATTTTTAGGCTGACTCGGTCACAGACTTATATTCGAATGATTTTGACTTCGGTCTTATTTCAGCATTGTCCTGCACAACTGGAAATGCGCTTCCTTTGCATACACTGCTCAATCAAGCTTTTGTATTTTATTTGTGATAAAATATTTTCACAATGAAACTTATAATTAGTGAATAGTGAGAGGGCATTATTTGGGAAAGAACGTTGACTTTTTATTCTAGTAAGGAAATAATCGACTAATTTCAATGAAAGATTATTGGAAATCAATGGAATAACTCAACTCAGTCTCAAATACTCACAACTTGTAACCTTCCGATGTCTGCAAACAAGTTGTCGATAATGTTTGCGAGCTGGAGATGTGACTATCAGTTTGGTTTGAGCAGATCCCTAGCATCTTCGTCGTGTTCCATTGTGCAGTGTCTTGATGAGCCCCTAGGAGGCAGACTGTGCCACCATGCCACCGCCAACGGCTATAAACCCAGCCAGCTCGGCACGACGACCTTATCAAGTCGGTCGACCCAGCATAGCGATCCTGAGAGCACCGTCAAGCTGCTCCACTGGCACCGGCCAAATTGCCCCGCATTGCCATTCTGAAAAGTTTTGTCTATGAAGTCGTTACGGTTATACGGAAATGCCTGAAATTACTCTTGAAAACGCTGAACATGGGACCACAATGTCGAAATTTACCTACAGCCCGAATACTACATGGTATACAATTTTTCGAACGGAAGTTAAAGTTACTATATTCTAATAAAAATCATGTTTTATTGATTTTGAAGAAAATTACGAAGGGGAGATTTAAAAGAAAAACACGGACTAGGGCCACCAATGACACATGAATAGAGGCTATAAATTGTGTCATTCACTTTTGTCAGATAAACGGGCGGCCATACATATAATACTGCCGGCCAAATTACCTCATGCTCCTCTAGATATTACATAAGCATAACATTTCGAACGAACCTTTGATTTATAACTAAAAAACTTTTTTTCAAAGTGAACTTTTCCTTTTCTTTGATATTTTGATTTTCGCAGAGCCTGCCAGAGTGAAGTTCGTCCGACTGGGTGCGGTGGAGCGCACCAAAGCTGTCGACGTTGGACCACCCGGCGACGACCCGGGCGTGTGCATATCCAAATGCATGTCTGAGCTCAAGATGCCGGCGATGAACAAGGACCATTGTTTCTGCCTGAGCGTTGGAGACGTGGAGCTGGAAGAGACTCTCATGGAAGGCGGCGACGTCCTCAGTGTTCTGGACATCACGAAATACGTAGTTAAGCCGAATGGTTAGTGAATTAACTTCGTGACGTGCTATTTCTTTTTGTTATGCTTTGTGTGACTTTTGGTTAACCCGCGCCCTAATGGGGGGTGTTTCAGCCATTTCCCTGTGGTTTTTGGCACACCTTATTATACATCAATTCTACACATGTTGCGAAAATTTCAGATCAAGGTCCTTCAAGGTCAGGTCACCAGGTCATTGACCTCACCTCATATAAAATTTCAATAGCTGCCATAGCTACATCGAGTGACCGATCGCTTTGAAACTTTCCGCGATTGCTAAGAGCAATAGTATGTACAAAATGCATATCTCAGAACTTTGATATCGATGGCCTAAGGTCAGGTCAGTTTTGCGACCTCCCCATTATAAAGTCAAAGGGAGAAAACTGAAATGAGCCTCTTTTGGACGAGAGCCATTATAAACACTCTAAAACACTGAATTACAAGTAACTTAGACACACTGAACATGAAAATGGTGTCCGTGACCCTTGTTTATGCATCTGAGCTCATATCAGGTCACGACTGGTATCTAACAGTTTTTCGCGAATTACTTTTGATAGAGGCATGCTATAGCGATGAAAACGTCATAGATGTGTTCAGCTCGACGATACAGATCGATTGATATGCAACATGATCCTTTCCGGTCAGGTTATGACCTTGACCTGAGGTCAAACTTTCAAGTTGACCTTTCAAGGTCAAATTATAGTTCATTCGATGCGTCTTGACGAGCAACACGATGCCGGTAAAAGTAGGCTCGTGCAAGGCTTGAGTCAAAAGTCATTGCAGAAAACTGTTTCAGAAAAAAATCGGTTATTTTGGCAGTTTCTGCCTCCTGCAGGCAAAACCGTTGACGTTAGGTCAAATCTGAGAAAATTACTCAGAAAGGGCTTGCATGATAGGGCTATCGAAAGCGTTTTTCTGCGGCGCTGTAGCTCTATTTGTTCCCGAGTTATGCGTTGGCTTCTTGGAAATTGTCGACATTTGACCTGAAAATCGGCGAAATTTTGCCTTCAATGACCTTTGGTGACCTGATTATTTTTTTTTTTCATTTTCGTTGAATCGATTTAACTTTTGCTTTTGCAAGGTGCTAGTTTTGAGCGCGGTCATTCATACTGATAAGTGTACAAAATCACTGCCCATCAGAGTATTATCAGAGTATGCGATAATCAGGTCCTCTTTCAACTTCTTATCACAATTACTTGCAGAATGATTCATGAAATCAAAAGTTGGTTATGGCTGGAACTAACTACATGCGGCTGTGAATACTGATTAAAATGAAACCAAGACCTACATAATTGGAGCGAAACTTGAAACGACTTAACATATTTCCATGAAACGGCCTCGTTAATCGTATTTTCTCTTACAGAGTCTCAAACCGGAACAATCACCATTGGCAAAAAGCCAGGTTATAGTTCGTTTTTTTCAAAAGGACGCTGGCTCCAAGTATGTTTCCCGAAAAAGCACGTGTTTTAGCGAGCAAAACGAGCAAAAACTGAACCTGAGAAAATCGAACGTCGACTAATTCTAACATGTGATTTCTTCCCGATAATTTCCATATGTGCGTTTTGGAACCATATATGAGAACAGTGGTGACGTCATACTGTCGAACATGTATTGCAATGTAACTTATAACTATCGTGGACAGAACTGCTTACTCGATTATAAGCTCGGCAACAGTGACAAACTAAGTTTCACCCAAATTCGTTGACACTTGTCCCATTGCACGGACATTTGGGTGCCTGTTGCCACCAGTGACGTCATCATAGTATGTCCATTTTTAAGAAACAATTTCCAGCTACTTACCGTGCACAATTTGAAATCGGCTATTTTTTCGGTAAGAAATTCTTCGCCAGACACTGAAGCTGCCAAAACTCACGTGAGAGCTTCGATATTGAACTTTGAGCCAGCGTCCTTTTGAAAAAAAAACGAACTATAGTTATGATGTAGGCTATAGCAATGTGGAAAAACATACCTATTGATGCCTCTTTTTTTTTAAACCAAGGCCGGCCGGCATGTGAGCTTAATCGGTGGAGGGTCGTTGAGTCTAAATGTAGGGGAGAGCGGGGCCAGTTGAAACACGGGGTCAGATGAAACATGGCTTTATTTTCAACAATATGCAACATATGGCGTTGCCGACACCACTGCGCATCCGCGCTCGACCACTTCCTTTGACAACGGCGTTTGGGCGGCAAACGGACGGTAATTTTGATTTGACACTTGTTTTTGTGTTTTTGAGGGGCGTTTTGCAGAAATCGTTTTATGAATATTTTGTGATATCTCATATACCTTTGTTTGCTGAAAGAAGAACTCCTGGCTCCGGAATAACACCTTATTTGGCCCTTCATTCAGCATGATGCCGTCCCTCCAGCTCGTTTGGCATGTGCTTTACGGTGCGTGCGAGATGGCGGGAGCGGATGGGGTCAATTGAAACGCTTCTCTGAGGGTCAGTTGAAACAGGGCCACAGGCCGTTTCAATGGACCCCGGTGACCTTTGCAATGGTTATTGTTCAGGGGCTGTAAACATTAAAGGAAATAGTCCACCTTTGAAATGAGCTTTTAAACTGAAATAGTAGTTTAATAGAGCTCAATTTTTGACCCCCTTTTCTCCAGCCTTTTGCTTGAAAGCACACTATAGCCTGAGATATTTCTCATTTTTCTCATCCGCCCATTTTACCATAGTCTATGTACTTTATGTCACCTATTATGAGGAACTTTGCACTTTTAGCTTTCCAACGACCTATTGAATGTAGCATTTGGAAAAGTAAACCGGACAAAATATCTCCTTAAGAAAGTGGCCTTAAAGAGGAAAACATCCCATTGTTAAGGATAGGTGCAATTGACCCCATGGGCTGGTTCAATTGACCCTCGCATCGGGGTCATTTGAAACGGGCGTAGAGCTGTTTTATAAGCATTCGTTTGGCAGCAAAATATGTTTGAAACATAATTTTACATATCTTAAAATAAAGCCAAAAGAGCATATTTTTTCATGGCATTGTGCATTTTTCGATATGACAACTGGATCTCGCTGTGCATGTCAATATATAAAAAGTGGTTCAACTGGCCCCGCTCTCCCCTATTTCGCGGATCAGTCCCCACTGTACAGCTGAGTGCTTACATGATTTTATGCTTATATATAATACATCATATGCTTATTTTACTAGAACTTTCTGCCTTATTACAATGTCATTTCCATGTTTCAACTGATGCATATATTTTCTCTTTTTTTTAGATGCTGAGCCCAAAACTGAGGAAGTAACCATCGAGAAAAAGCCAGGTGAGACTGCGTTCCTTTTACTCAGTGTTTGAATCAAATATTTAGAGCAATGGGGTGATAACCTTAACGGGTTTATCATAGGTTAACTATAGCACAATGAGACATTTAAATGCCCAAATTTTTAAAGCATCTTTATTTCGTCGATGTATATTCGAAATTATTCGTAGTTATAAAAATCTTTAAAACTTAAACGAACTTATTCATTTACACTCTTTTCTGGACTTTTTTTAGAACCTGTAACAAAAACTGGAACAGTCGACATCGAGAAAAAGCAAGGTGGGTTTCAATGCACTGTTGTATTCTGCGAATGCTTGTCGCACTGTTTATGCGATGATGCATGCTTGAGTCGCATAGATATTCTTTCTCATGATTTTCAGGTTGCTGTCATCATTATTGTATCTAAGATGTATCCCTATTCCCTAATCAGAACAGGTAACTCTACCAATATCCGTGCATGTTTCTAGGCTAGTTTTTGGAGCTGGATTCGAATTTAGAAACTATTTGAACGTTTACGAAGTAGTTGTGGTGCCTTCGTAACATGTTACGAAGCTGTCAGAGGCGGTTGACCCGAACGACGAATACCCGTCATGACCCCTACTGGTTGACCTGACCTGACCTGACCCGACCTGGTTTAAATGCTTAACCCTCGCCGGCCGAGGGGGGGCGGGTGCCGCCCCCCATAGGGTTTATTCGCAATAGCTCCAAACACGCTGGCGATAGAGAGCTGAAACTTGGCATACCTGACCTTTGATCCAAGCCGCATCTTATGACACCAACCGCATTTTTAAGTCAGGTCAGGTCACTGACCTATGACGTCATAAGTGAACCTCTGCACGGTCTTCAGATGTCGCAACTTCGCAACGCCCTCACTGCCAGAGGAGATGTCACAGGGAAATGAAACTTGCAGGATCTAGTATCCATTATGAGTCTCACAACTTGTATATCTCGGATTTTTCCTAAAGGTCATATGAGGTCAGGTCATTTTCGTGACCTCACCATTATAAGTCAATGGGGAAAAAAGTGACAACTGCTATTCTGGCGCCGGGAACGATCTCCAACTATCTCAAGCACACAGAATCGTGATTTGATGCACTCCTTGCAAGGTTAGATGCGTCACTTTTGCAATGTTGACCTTCCGTGACGTCATTTATGACGTCATCAAGGTCATATTAGTTTTTCGTCAATAACTCTTGATCACATTGAGCTAGCGAGTCGGAAAAGTCACTCACCAATGGACTCAGGAAGACCTACCGAATCGAATGATATGCGACATGACCTCTTTCGACCAACTTCGTGACCTGGGGGTGCTGACCTGACCTTGACCTGAGGTCAACACCCTAAGTTGACCTGAGCCGAACAAAAAGTATATCATTCGACGCGCCTGAGCGAGGCGAACACGATGCTGCCAAACTCGCGGCTCTGCGGCCGTTTTTTGCGAAGTTATTCACCAAAAACTGAACCGTACCCTGGGGCACTTGACCTGACCTCAGAGGTCACTGGTTGGCCTAGGACCTTAAAATTGGGTACCAATCTCTGCGTCTCGTAACGGCGCACACGCTCGTTTTTTCCGCGACGCGCTAGCTCCACCAGGGGCGAAACGGCGAGGGGGGTCGTACCCGCCCCCCCCCCCTCGGCCGGCGCGTATGTAGAAAACCAATAGGTCCGGCGAGGGTTAAAGACATCATCTGTGATCAAAACTAACACGATATCCGTGATAAGCACCCCGAAAAAACGCTTAGCAGCCACACTTAACGACTTTCTAACAGGTCCCGATTTTCCCGACTTTTGGGTCATTGACCTGACCTGGAAGGTCAACCAATGACCTAGGACCTTAACCCGCGCCCCGTAAGGAGGGCAGAAACGGCCCCCCTGTCCTTTTCCGTCGATATCTCCTAAACGACTGGAGATATCGCCACCAAACTCTCAGGACCCCTCCGGGCATCCGTTTTACACATTGTGATTAAAAATCCAGAGGCTATGATAGGTTGATCACAAATGACGTCAGAATGACGTCATTTTGTGCCATTTCCGACCAAAAAAGACCTTCACAAGAAGAGCTGTCAGGCCTACAGCTTTGAAGATATAGAAAAATGGTCTGGATATAAAAGGTGTAAAATTGACAGGGCTACACAACTGTTATCTCGGATTTTTGAACTCTTTGAGCTTTGACCCCAAAAATCAAAAAAGTATTTTTTGGATATATTAGCCAAAAAATCCAAAAAGTTTTTTTGAGCTTCGAAAAAACGGAATATATGTGATAGTACCTACCGTGTTCTATCTACATACTAGATTTCAGATCAATAACTCGTTTTTTGGCTAAGTTATAGCGAAACAACTGTTCAAAAATGATGACGTCAAATTTTCAAACTCAATTATTGGCAATTATAGACCACGTAGGGAAACAAAGACCACCATTAGAATCCCCGTGACGAGTTGCATCGAATCCATACCCATTTTATGCAAAAATATCAACATTGAAATTTGACCTTATTTGACCTGACCTGACCTGACCTTCACCAAAACGTGACATAAGCTGGCCCCAAAGGCTGCCTGACCCACATAATCGCATTTGTCATATAAAATGGACCATAAAACATGTATCACACGACACTTTAATAATGTGACCCCCAGTGACCTGACCTTTGTGACCTGACCTGGTATCAGTGACCTCAGATAGCAAAGTATGTGTTTGACGAACAATGTACCATCGATGGTTTTCAATAACTTACCAAGTTACTTGATTTCACAACACATTTCTTGAAATGCCTGTGAAGTGAACGGTGAAAATCCGAGCTTTGACCTGACCTGTGACGTCATCGGTTTGACCTAGGTCAATGAAATTTGGTCACAAGGTAGTTCCCCAATGGGGCTATCGAAAGCCGTTTGAATTGTGAAAATCGGCCGGTAAATTTCCGAGATCTTAGGCAGGCCGAAACGCCCCCCCCCCCCCACACACACACACAAGTGGTAGGGTCCGCCGATAGCCCTACGGGGCGCGGGTTAAAATGGGGTATCGTCGGCTTCCTCTCCTCACGGGCAACACGCTCGTTTTTTCCCCGAAGCTCTAGCTCGATCAGGGGCCAAACGGCAGGGGGATCCAACCGACCCCCCCCCCCCCCCGCCTACACATTAGAAGCTGGCAAACGCCGCACACATGCGAGGGTTAACGTGACCTTCAAAGCCGGCCACGGCCTGTTCCAATCAACTGACTTTAACTGGCTGCGGCTGCTCCGACCAACCGCACACCATCCCCGTCAGGAGTCTCAAATATAAATATCCGTGAGGTCACTGTATAAAAATATCATGTGATGCATGTTTTATGGTCCATTTTATATGCAAAATGCGATTATGTGAGACAGGCAGCCCTTGGGGTCAGTTGAGATTATGAAGGTGAAGGTCAGGTCAAAGTCAGGTCAAGGTCAGGTCAAATTAGGTCAAATTTCAAAATTGATATTTTTGCATAAATGGGTATTGATTCTAATTCTATGCAGCTCGTCACGGGGAGTTCAATGGTGGTCTTTGTTTTGCGCTACGTGTTCTAGAATTGCTAAAAATTGAGTTACAAAATTTGACGTCAACAATTTTGAACAGTTTTTTCGCTATAACCCAGTGGGGAGAGGTTTGGTCAATCGTTGTCATTTTTAGCACGTGCTATTTTTGTCATACGTGCCAAAAATGGCAACGATTCTGCTATTTTTAACAACGATGAAGCCGATTTCACTCCTCAGCGAGGAAATCACGATTTAAGAAAGATAAGCACCGATTTTAGAAAAGAAGTGCTGCCATCTGGTGCAAGACGAAGAAGCCAGCTTTAATATGCCCGTTGTTTGTATGGTAGTTTGTTTTGTGGCTTGAAGCTGAAACTAAAAATTGAATCATCCGAAAATGATCGATATTGATCGAAAACATGATGTTGATGAAAAAATAATATGTTAAGTTGAGAGAGAAGGTCATCTTATCTAGATGCGGTGGTTTACTTCTGGAAATTATTTTTGCTAATTGACGACCTCTTATCATCCGTCATTGCATGGCGGTCGTTATAAACAAAAATAATTTCAAGAAGTGAACCACCGCATCTGGATGAAACTTGAGTCTTAACATGTTAATTTGTTCATCAAAATTATCAAATCAAAATTATCAATATTGATCATTTTCGGATGCTGCAAATTGAAGTTCCAACTTCAGGCCACAAAAAAGGGTACACGTCAACGTTGGACTACCATACAAACAACAGCCATATTAAAGCTGGTTTATTCTTCTTGCACCAGGTGGCAGCACTTCATTTCCAAAATCAGTGCTTGTATTTCCAAAATCGAGATTTCCTCGCTGATGAGTGAAATCAGCTTCATCGTTGCCAAAAATAGCTGATTGGCACATGGTTGCCAAAAATGGCATGTGCTAAAAATGACAACGATTGACCAAACCTCCCCCGACTGAACCTGGCCAAAAAAGGAGGCATCAATCTAAAATTTGGTATGTGTATCGAAGAGCGCAGAGACTGTCACATATATTCCGTTTTTCGAAATTCAAAAAAGAAATTGGGATTTTTTTAGTTTTTTTTTCTATTTTTTATTATTTGGGGTGAACATCCCACAATTTTGAAAATCCGAGATGACAGTTTTGTAGCGCCATCTTTTCTCTACACGACCACATAAAGAACTTTAAAATTGCCTGTTAACTGTGGATTTGGTGAGCGTTTCAAGATGTCATGTTTTTTGCTCATTTTTACTCGAACATGACCTCAGTTTGACCTAAATAACTCCTGACCCAAAATGACTTGTGACTTGGAATTGTGTGTGAAGGTGTCAAATTAATGCCCGTGAAGGTACTGAAATATGCCGCCGTTTTCTCACTATTAAGGAAAACCATAGGGGGGCAAAATAACCCCCCATCAGGGCGCGGGTTAAATGGCTTGTGTGCATTTTCCTCATCACACAGTTGCATGTCTGCCAGTTTTTATGATAAGGTTTATTTTGTCAGAAGATAATGCCTAGTCATTTAAAGGTAGTGTGCCACCTTTGAAATATTTCCCATTTTATTTTTCCTAGGATAAGAAGCTTCTGTTTTTACCTAATATCGCAAAAAAAATCAAAAATGGGCCTGGAATAGTGCCTTTTTCGCCTAAAAGTTTTTCGGTTTTTAGATATGTATAACAACTGTAGTGGGCTCACCTGCAAACAGGCGTCGGGCAACAATCGCGAATGCGGCGCACTTGTGACAATAAGCAAAGGTCATTATAGTGTTACGACCATACGACGTACGGGAATGAGTTATCAGCTGTCTAATCGTAGACAACACAATGTCGAGCCTTAAACTGTAAGCCCGTATTGGTATTGTTTCTTTTATTTGGCTGTCGAACATTATTTATGGTTTGAAATATGATTTTATGTAAAATAATTGATATGAAAAAGCCGTCTTATAAGTTATGACCGCATTTCACCACACGCAAGTGGCAGAAATGACAATGATCAGCTGACGCATTTTTCTTGGCCGAAGTCAGAGCGCGCGGCCCGACGCACCACGCGTATTTGGAAATTCCGACCTCGACGAGCATCAGAAGCCACCTAACAGGCGTGTTCGAAACCGCAGGAGATGATGATGAACGGGTTTATCGAAACTTGATTGGATGAGCATATCGGTAATAGCGATTTCAGTGTGTGCATTTATTGTTCATAGTGGTGTGAAATGTGGTTGGGGTACGACCGACAACCCGTCGGGGCGAATTTCGCACTGGGGTACTCAAAATTTGAAGAATTTAAGACGTTTCCATGAGTTTTGAAGGTATGGATAAGTTCTAAAAATCCGGTTCTCCTTATCTGGGCCATTAACTCCATACGGTCCAAGAAAGCTGGCACACTACCTTTAATTATTTTCATGATGTTGAACTGAAGTAATATGTTTCTTTTTTAGATTCCGAGCCGAAACCTGAAACCATCGAGAGAGAGCCAGGTGAGACCCGGAGTGTACAGTGAATACATATGCCATTTGTACTGAATGGTTCCATAAAGTTTCTAATGTTCATGGAACAGTAAACTTATGGGGTTATTACAACCAAACTTATCGAACGAGAAATTAAAATGCCTGAAGTTTGCAAATTTATTTATTTCGTCGGAGTATATTTCATATGTTGGAAAAAGAATCAACATTCAATATTAAAACAAACGTATCAATATCACTGAATACGAAAACTTTTTCCCAGAATCTGAGACTGAAACCGAAGCAGTCATCATCGAGAAAAAGCCAGGTGAGATCCATTGGGTTGCTGTATTTCGGTTAAAAAAATTTAGAACCTTTTTAGTAGAAGTTAACACGCGCACCGACGGGGGGGCGGATATCCGCCCCCCTGAGGTTTTTCGCAAATAGTCGGAAAACCGCGAAATTTGGTACGACTATTCTCTCATCAATTTTACACATGGTGTGCAAGTTTGAACCTCCTAACTTTTAAGGTCAGGTCACCAGGTCACTTTGAATGACCCAAACTCAAGTCACTTTTTTGCAACTTTGTCACCGTGCCAGAGCTAGGGGAGAGTGGGGTAATTTGGCCGGTGGTGTAAATTGGCCGCCCCCACCTGTACGATGTCTAATAAAAGTGAGTGAAATAACTCTAGTCTCTATTTATTTGTCATGGGTAGAAATAACTGGAGGACAAATGTCAAAACTTTGCCCCTCGTAGTTTTATTCAAAATTAATAAAACGTTAATTTCATTAGAAAATGGTAACTTTTACTTCTGTTTACAAAGTTGTATAACATGTAGTATTTGGGCTAAAAACGAATTCAGACATTATAGCGCCATTCTTGGGGGTGTTCAGCGGTTCCAAGAGCAATTTTATCTAATTCCGGAAAGCCGCGATGACTTTATAGACAAATAATTTCAGAATGGCAATATGGGGTAATTTGGCCGGGACTAGCGGGGCAACTTGGCCGCACCGGCTCATGGTCACTATGCTGGGACGGCCGAGTTTTCATGGTCAATTGTGCCATAAATGACATGATGCATGACCAACTTTGACTACTTTGATGCCTTAATTCCGATTGGTCAACTGTAAGAGCATGTGACGTCATCAAAGGTTACCAAAGGTTTTTTGCTAATAAATCCTTGCATAAAAATGGTACAGCCGCACAAATGGTCTCATTCTGTTCAGCTCGCCAAGGCGCATCGAATGATATGCATGATGACCTTGAAATCACGTGACCTTGATGTCAAGCGACATGATGCAACGTGACCTGAGGTCAACCTTTGACCTTGACTTCTCAAGGTCAACACATATATCTTTCGATGCGGACTGACGAGAGAATTACGATGGTACTCGAAGTTTTGGCCTAGCTTGATTACTTCAAAAGTTATTCGCAAAAAAAAAACTGTGATCGCATCTAGAGCCGCTATTTGGCTATTTTGACCCCTGTGACCCCTGAGCCAACCTCCAAAATGCGGCAAATGCGTCATAGGACACACGTCATTGCTGAATCTGAAGCTGACTCGCAATATAACAGAAAATCCCGACCGCAAACTAACACCGGCCAAATTGCCCCACACCCCCGGCCAAATAACCCTGCTAGTGGGGCAATTTGGCCGCCTTGCAGACCCTTGTAATACGTCACAATTTCAATATAAGTAATTACTCTATCATTTCAAGTTCACTGTCCAGTAAAGTAAAATGAATGCGACACCTGCCAGCGTTGAGAAAATGCAGAAATGTGTCGTCAATTTTAAGTTATATCGTTTTCTAAAAAAAGCGGCCAAATTACCCCACTCTCCCCTACAGTAGATGTCGGAGGCCTTTGAAAGTCGCAGGATGTTATTAGGTCATTAGTAGCTACAATTTTTATATCTCGGGATTTTGATATCAGTGACCTAAGGTCAGGTCAATTTCGCGACCTCCCCATTATAAGTCAATGGGGAAAAATCAACTCCCTGTTTTTACCACAAAAACGGGTCGGAATGGCCCCATGTACCATACATGACTTCATATACGATCAACCTTCACTACATTGAGGTCTGTTTTGCTGTTGGGCAGCTGTAACTAAGGTCATGTAACGTCATCAAAGGTCACCAAAGTTTTTTGCCAATACCTCCGTACAGGAACAAGATACAGCCGAGCGGATGGTCTCATTGTGTTCAGCTCGTCAAGACACATCGAATGATATACATGATGACCTCGAAGTCGCGTGACCTGAGGTCAACCTATGACCTTGACCTTTCGAGGTCAACATATACCGGGTGGCCCAAAAAAAACGTTCCCAACTTTAAATCAATATTCCTCAGAAACTAATAAAGATACAACTTTGAAACTTCGAATAGTCAATGCGGCACATATTTTCAGTGAATGGTGTGATTTTCCTGCTATTCGGTAAATTACTTTTTGAACGTTTCGTGTTTCAAGCATGCCATGTAAAAATTACTTTTTTGCTCCGATGTTTACTCAAAAATGTGAGTGAACGGGTTGTTTCGAGCAGGAAACTTTCACCTTCGCACTTTCACCCCGGCACCGCGGTCTACAGCCAGGACTGCCACTGGCAGCTAGTCTCATTGATAGTGCGGGCCTTAGGATGACACATTCCCTCAGGCAACCACGATGGCTCTGTGCCAGCGGCAACATTGTCGGAAGAAGTTTCCAGTGGTCTAACCATCTTTGTCAGTCCCACGCACAAGGGGAAAAAGCTAAAAAAATTGAGCGCTCAAAAAATTGAGCGGGCCCCATTATGAAGGAATAGGCGAAACGATGGTATTTTACAATGCCTTTAGCGTCACACTACGGCAAATATCGTATCCAAATAAGGTATCAATGGCAAGAGAGAGCAACAAGGTTTCTTCTCGAACACTCGCCGTGATAATTTATATCGGTGTTTTTGGAAAGAAAATGCCCTAAAGACGCTCAACTTTTTGAGCGCCACTTGTCGTTCGGGACCGCGATACTCAATAAATTGAGCGCCACGACAGACGACAGTCAGCTGGCGCTCAAAAAATTGAGTGCCGGCCAGCATCTACACTCAATTTTTTGAGCGTTCTCCGTGACAGGTGAAGCCGGTACTGGCTGCCATTTTTGATGTTATGTTCGTTGAAATACGTTAAACTGAGTTGAAACAGAAATGCAGGAAGTTGAATGCTACGTGGTACCTAAACTTTTCACAAACCCATGGCATCATGTCACATTTTCCGCTATTAGTTTTATCGGTCTTTCGGATTCGGCACACCTCAAATAATTATACAAGGCTTGAATAATCCGTATGAATACTGTAATTGATATTCTCTGACTGTACTGGGAGAAGGGAATACGTGAATACAGAGATATCCACCCAAACTTGAATATTGGAGATTGGAGAATTATAGCAGGAAAAACTGTATTGCCATGGTTACAACTTACAAGGCCATCGGCCGCAAACAAACAAAAATACTATACAATGTGGGTTAGATTCACAAACATCATCAAGTGTGGAACACAGAGACGAGCAAAACAACATCACATTATCGCATGCCAGCCCGACCACATTGGAACCGGGTCCGGGTGACCTGCGACCGGAACCTGCGTCTTGCCAGCATACATCACAAAAGCAGGAGGCAGTGTCGTACTGCTTTGATCCAAAATATGCCATATAACAAATGATATAAACGACCTAAGCTCGGACTAAGCTTATCATTATCAAATCCTTAACATGTAAAAGACGAATGGAAACATCGAGTCTCAGACCAGCAGTAGCAACGATCACAGTAGCAACATCACAAAGAACACGCGGCATTATCAGACAGCCGTTTGTTATCGGGCTACAGGCGGCGACGGCGTGGTTGCAGACCAGCTGCGAGGTAGCGGCGTGCGGGCAAAAGGCGTGGGCACACCTCCATGTGGCCGTGCGGACAGTGCGCGGTCGGCGTCGCATAGTGGGCGGCATCGGGCTGTCCCGGGCCGTCGAAGCCGCACAGGTTGTCGGCGCATGTGGGCGCGCGCGGTCACCACGGCCAGCTGCTCACCGCCAGCACAGACTGCGCAGCGTCGCCGCTCCGCCGGCCAGAACACGCAGACAACCCTTCTTGCAGTCGCACAACACGTCGCCAAACTCATTCACCTGCTCCACCATGTTGTTGATGTCACCGAGTCGTTCGAGTTGTGGCTCGTGCCGTCGAGCATGACCTGCCCGATCGGACACGGGTCAGCGGCTTCTGCTCCAGCGAAGTCTTCATCTTAGTGACGTCTTGCTGATCTCCACAAAGGCTGAACAGATGACCTTACCCACAGAGACGGCAGACGTCCTCGCCAGCGACCGCTTGGTTGTGCAGACCTGCCAGAAAAAGAAAAGCTGTTTGGTGATTAGAGTTGCAAAGTTTTCCCAATGGGCTGCTACCGGCACCGCCCCGCCCCACAAACATTTTCTGGGATACCGGCATGCTACCACGCCTCAAGCAAAAAAAACCGCCAAATTACCGGCATACTAAAAAAACCTGCATTATTGATTCTGGCTTACCCCTACATGAGATGCCACATTTTGGCAATTTCAGTAACCGCCCCACCCAACAGCCACCCATTGTCCAACTTATTACAATTCAATAGCCTCTTAGTGTCCAAAGTTTGAATCATATGCTGATAATTTTTTGTGCAAAATCAAAAATACCGGCATGCTACCGGCAAGACATGCCAGATACCACGAAAAAACCTGCGGTAGTGAAAAATTACCGGCATGCCGGTAGTGCGGTAGGGAAATTTTGCAACTCTATTGGTGATCTCAAACGATTTTTTTCTTTATGCAGTGGAACAAAACGGAAAATATGTCATACAACAGGAACTAAAAAAAAAAGATGCAGCCTAGGTCGTCTAAGAAATGGGTGCAACATTGATAAAATTATTCATTGAATGAATTCTGCAAATGCTTTTGATAAAATGTGTGGTGATTATAAGGAGACCACTTTACTATAAAATTGCTCAGGATTCCCTATCTGGACCTGTCAAAAAATCCTGACTGCACGCCAACAATGAGCATTAAATCCAAAACCTCTACCAGGTACAGGGACCCGCAGTTGCTACTGTACACATATATTACCAATTTAGAATTGCGCTATTATTTGGTAAGTGCTGGCCATTGGAGAAAGGAAATGTAGCGCAAAGTATGGAGGAATAACACATGTTTGCTCCTAGCACGTATGTTTTGTATAATTCCTCTTACCGCAACAGATATTCTTCCAAAACTACAATCGTGCTATTTTTCCGCGCCGGTTGCCTCCCCAGAGCCCGTCCTTGGTATCGCCTATAGCTTCC